AAGCAGTTCTGGAGATCCTCTTTTGTGAGTGTCATTATGAGGTGTGAGAAAAATTTAGTGAATGCTGCTGCTGAGCTCCATCCAACAGAAAGGCAGGCTTGTAAAAATACTATAGTGTGTCCTAATTTATTTTATGTGCCGCATCTGGCAGCATGCAGCTTCTGGCTCTTGCCCAAGTCAAAATACTCCTGAAAGGTAAATCCAAGACATTCAGGCAACCATGACAGTGCAGTTAAACACACACCAAAGGGGATTTCAGAACTGCTTTAGCAAGTGGCAAGAATGATGGGTCAGGTGTGTTAAAAGCAAGGGGCAACATATTCAGGGGGAAATGGCAATGCATCTTTTGCATTGATTTTAAAAAAATTAAACGTTCATTGTGGTTTTCAATCACTAGAGGTGACTCATTAAAAACTGTATGATTTGCTGATTTCATTTTAGCTGCCTTTGAAAAATATGTAAATAAACTTACTTCCAGATTTGGTGATATAATTTGTGATATGTATCATGTTATATATATCAAATCAATCATATTCTATATCATATCACTTATATACGTATAGTCTTTCAGTTACTGAATGGTTCTTTTATACAGTGCCCTTGAGGAACTGGCTAGCACGACTAAGTCCACTGGATAGAAATCAAGTTTCTGACTGTGACCTCTTTGCCTTACTTTTTTGCTAACTAGAAAGGGAAGAGAAAAAAGTGTGAAACTATCTTTTTATTTGCCTCTACAATGCCAGTTAACTCAACTCAAATTTTCTTACTCATACTTTATAAGTCATATGGCTTGATAGTACCTCAGTTTTCTCCTTATTTTGGTGTCTGTGTTTGAAGTTAGAATGAATCAATAAAGACTTTTAAACCTAATATCTAACATGCTTATAAAATGCCACTTTGGTAAATAGTATTTGCATGGGTTATCTCAGCATCTTTTCATTTTAGAAGGAATTGAGATATGCAGAGTAACTTGTCAAAAATGATATAGCTATTAAGTGGTGGAGCACGGACTTGAGCTAGGGTGACACTCAGGAGAGCCTGTGCTGTCAGGTATGATGCCATGGCCCCTTCAGTCTACAACAAAGAACCTGAAAACGGTCAGTAACTCCCTCTTCTCTGTGTTATGATGGATTCCTGCCTTTTACAGGTCAACAGCTTGGTTCCTTATATTTTTGCTCTGTTTTACTATGATTTGAATATAGTTTGACCCCTTCGAAACTGGTATGTGAGTTTAATCCCTGCTGTGAGGTACTAAGAGGCTAGAAACTTAATCTACCCTCCTTTTTTCTTTGGTTTGGAAGTGGGGCCTTTGCAAGGATATTAATATTAGCTAAAGATAAGTCATCAGACTGGGGACTTCATGATAGAGTAATGGTAAAGAGAAAAGAGAAAAATAAAAAGACAGAAGACAGAAAACAGGGAGGTAGACTTTGGTGAGATGGGGAGGGGCTTTGGAGGTGAGAGAAGGGGAGGGGAAAGGAAGTAAGAGGGATCCAGGTGCAGTAGGTATATACACCAGTACCCCAGCATGAATATATCCATTGTATATGAAGAGAGGGAGAGACACAATGAACACACTTTCTCTCATGTGACACCCTGTGTCACCAGGGACTCTGCTAGCAAGGTCACCATCAGATGTGGCCACTAGACCTTGGACCACAACTGTGAGCCAAAATAAATCTCTTCTGGTTTTTTTTTTTCTGGTGTCGGGAATTGAACTCACGACCTCACACTTACCAGGCAGGCGCTATGCTGCTGAGCTAAATCCCCAACCCCTAAATCTCTTCTCTTTGTAACTTACACAATCTGGCGTATTTTGTCATTAGCAACAAAAAAACTAAGATACATGTGAAGTTTTTCATCCTTTAATTATCTGTATGGGTTTCTCAAAAGATTTGGAAGCTTTGGAAGTTCCATGAACTCTCCCTGCTAATGTCCATCTAAATGGATTTTATTTTGTACAGTTCACCACATCACATGTCAGTTTGTCTCTACTCTGCTCCTGATAGTTATTGCCCTGAACATGTGTGTAATTTTTCAGTTTCACTTGTCTTACTAACATAATGGGGTAAAAATAGTTACTTCTTATTTTATTTTTCTATTTTTTTATTGTAAAGAGAGAAAAAAACAATAAAAACAACACAGAATTTCAAAACAGAAGTTGAAATGATTCCACTATACTCTACAGAAATAGCCCAAATCTGATGGTTTTGTTTGAAAACACGTGAAAAGTTTAGGAAGAAATTGCTATAAAGCAGTCAAAGCACATTATTTTAAGTATTTATTTTCTTCTAACTGTATAAAACAGACACTTTCCAGTAATGAATATTCATTTGCGACCATTTTTTTGATGCTGTGTGGACATAGGGTGGTCTTTATTTCATTATCATAGGTAATGTATTTACATCAACTAAACTTGTGAATCTATCACTGGAAAAGTAATGATCAAAGATCTGAGTTTAGATCTTTTACTTTGCAAAATTTAAGTATCAGAAGTGCCAAAGCATTTTGTACAGAAGGAACTGTGTGAACCCACAGTTGATTTACTTATGCACTGATTCATTCTCATTCACCACATGCATCTATTTCCTGGGAGCCCAGCAATCTGCAGAGATGAACAAGCTGAGCACCCTGCCCCTATTATACGAAAGATCTGTCTAATGAACCCACGGCTTTTATCATTCCACAGGAAAATAAGACTGTTATTTCTATAATGTTGCTAATGTGCTGCGTCCAGCATTTTGCTCAAATCAGAATTAAAAGCCCTCCTTTTATGTCGAGGAGACTATCAAAAAATAATGAGCACTGTAAAATGCTATGGACACTTATTCTGATGCCCCTTAGGACAAGGTGAGGAAGGAAAATTCAACTTATAGAGCAGAATGAATATCTCAGAAGCTACAATGTGCCTGTTGTTTTTGCTGCCTTTGGAAATGTTATTTAGGTCACCAATTATTTCTCTGTTGGCGTATTTTCTTTTTTTCTTTTTTACCTCTGTTGCATTTAACTGTTGCATATCCTCTTTTTCTAAAAGTTAAGAAGAGTTTATAAAATGCAGAGGTGAAAGTGAGGGAGAGACACAAAAGACAGAGCCAGACAGATGATTTCTTTTGGACACCATGGTGCTGCTTTGCTCCCAGTCCAAACAGCTCCTCTCTTCCCCCATCCGTTCCAGCCAGTGACATTTTCCAAGGATCAGAATTTCACCTTCGACTTCTGGTGTTGTTTTCTTCTCTAGATGATTGCCAGTTTATTTTAAATAAAGTTACGTTTATTCTAAATACTTCCAAATACAAAATGTGTCCTTCCTTTAATCTCAACTATGTTTCTGTGTCTCATAGATCTCTATAAACTCAAAAAAATATACTGTGATTTTGGAAACACAGATGTATGTTTTTAAATTAGTCTCTATATATGTCTGTGGAGCTCAGGATTGAACACTTGGCCTCATTCATATTAAAATAGATATTTTTGTGGCTGTGCTTGGAATAGAAAGTAGGATCTCATGCATGCTGGGAAAGTGTTCTACTACTGAGCTACAGCCCTAGTGCTAAAGTACACTAATTTTAAAATGCATCATTTACTTTAATATTCTCCACAAAATGACTCCAGTATTTGTATTATTTGTATATATTGATTAGCCATCTCTGGTGGTTCTTTTAGATAAAAAGTACATTCCTTCAGTTGTATTTTGCCAATATCTATTGTCTAGGTTGCAGAGTCTCTCTAACAGAAATAAATTCATTAATTTCTGTTCTTCTATATTTAATAAAAATACTAAAGGTAGGGTTTCAGTTATTTATTGCCAAGTAACATATCACTCCAAAACTTATTAACTTAAAGCACAGCAGATTGCGTTCTCTAGTTTGGGCAGGGCTCATGCGGACAGTTCAGCTCTGCTTCACGTGCCATCAAGTGGGGACTTGGCTGAGTTCAGAACATTTGGATGACCTCTTAGTGTCCAGGGCTTCTCCTCACTGGACTGTCATTCAGTATTCTTCTATGGTGTCTGGATCCTCAAAGCAAAACTCAGAAAGTAACAGACTTTTAAAGGCTTGGCACGGTGTCATTTCTGCCATATTCTATTGGTCAAAGCAAGGTGTGAGGTCACCTCACATATATCTGGAGGAAACAAAATAGATCTCACTTTTTTCTGGAAGGAATGAATGTGTGTACCAAGAGGGAGGACTTGTAGCTGTCTTTGGAGACTACTGTAGGGAGCAACTGAAAGTTACTCAAGCTTTATGACTAACTCCTATGAGCCCAGACCCCTGATGAAGGTGTGTTTGTCAGCTTTCTTTTGCTGGGGCAAAATACAAAGCACCTGCAATTTAAAGAAGGAGAAGTTTCATTTGGCTTATGGTTTCAGAAGTTTCAGTCCATGAACATCTGGCTCCATGGCAGGATCATCAAGGTAGAAGGGCGTGATGGAGCACAGCTGCTCCGCTCATGGTAGCTGGGAAGCAGAGGAGGGGGACAGCACTGATCCACGATGGAAGGTGTGGAAGTTCTCTCGAGAATCCCTGGTTTGAGTCTGTGTTGAAAGGTTGAAGAAACTGGAATCTGATGTCCACAGGTGATGACAGTAGTAAAATATGCACCTGCTCAAGCTGAATGAAGCTTTTCAAAGACCAATTTCTGCCTTCTTCCTCTTTGATTCCATCCAGGCTACGATCCTATTGGAATGGAGCCTCTCACAATCGGAGTGCGTCTTCCTCCCTCAGTTTGGGACGTACATGCCAATCATCCCTGGAAACGGCCCACAGGCACACCCAGAAGTGTGCTTTACTAACTTGTTAAGTTTGTGTAACCCAGGCAAGTTGACAGTCATGATTAATGATCACAAAAGACACCATGTTCATTTTTACAGCTAAAAGATAACTGATGAAAATTCTGACATAATGGATAACAAAATTCAGACATCATCTAGGCTTTCCCTGTTTTTTACAAAATGCTTGCCGTGCATGTTATCTATGGACAATGTTAATTTTATTTTTCAGTTATTAAAAAACTATTATAAATGGAGAGTGGAATGTCCAGAATTAAGTGCGGATCTACACCCTAGAAGTATTCTTGGCCTTTTGAAGGCTGGCTACCATGGAGTTCTGGGATCCAGGGATCCCACTGGTAGCAGAGTTCTTATTTACAGAATCGGTGAGTCATATACACCTCTCACCTATCTTCCTTTGTCTCCTCGTCTTCCTTCTCTCTTCTTTCCCTCTGTTTTTCCTTTACTGCTGTATGGACAGTGTCAATGTGTCCATCCTTAAGAATTTAGGTTTTAATTTAAGTTTTAGGATTTACCTTAGGTTTAATTTAGATCTTAATATTTCCCAAATATAACATTTTGGCAGTTGTGAGAAAATTAGCAGAAACTGGTGAAAATCCTACTTCCATTTCCCAAATGGTCACTGTTTAAAAGAAAAGAAAAATTGAGAAAAGAAATGGTAGAATAAAGTAAAAGGACTCAGTGTAAAGCATCTGAAAAATTCTTAATAGGAATTATAAAAAAATTCTGAACAACAAAAGCTCCAGGAGATTGTAGATTTTGTCTTTCATGTGCTCTGATACATTCTAAGCACTGATCACAGGATCTGGTATATGGAAGGTACTCATTAAACATTTGTGGAATGAGTAAGTGAATGACTTGCTCAATAACACCCAGGGTGAGGAGCAAGGTGCTCCCACCCTTGGATGGAAGAGGGTGCAGCAGGGTGCTCAGGATCCGTGGAGATGGTTGCAGACACTGTAAGGCATTAGTTCCCCCCTTTTTCTTACTTACTGCCTCCTCTTTCATTTGTAGGTGCTCCTAGTGTTTTTTATAGGTTGATGTCTTATTTGTTCAGCTGCTATAACAAAATCCCATAGGCTGGATGGCTTATAGAGAAAGTTAGTTCTCATAATTCCAAAGTCTGGGAACTCCTAAATCAAAGAATTAGCAGATATGGTTGTAATGAGGGCATTTGGTGGTTCATAGACAGACATTTCATGCAAACCTCAAAAGTGTCTCTTCTGGGTCTCTTGTATAAGGGCACTAATCCTATTTATGAGGAGTCAACCTCTACAGCCTAGTGACATGCAAAAGGCCACCTCCTAATACCCTGACCTTGGGAGTTAGGATTTCAGCATATGAATTATGTGGGGACACACATATTCAGACCAGAGCACTTGGTGACCTATATATTCTGCTACTTTAGTTTTGTGCCTGGTTAAAAATGCTAGGTAAAGGAAAAGATTTCTCACTGTTCCAAGGAACCACTTCTAGCCTGGTAGACAGGACATAGATAATCAATATTTCATGAAAATTACAATCTTATGGAAACTTCTACTTTTTTGGAGATAAGATCTTGTTTGCTCAAGCCAGGCCTGAATGATCCTCCTGCCTCAGCCTCCTAAATATCTGAAGCTAAAATTGCATGCCACCATGCCTGCTGACCTTTATATATTTAAATATTTATTTTATATATTAGTGTTTGCACCTGCCACCATGTAGGTTCCCTGCCTTAAACTGTTGCTTTCTTTCTTTTAAAGAGAATAAAAATTTTTTAAAAATTTAAAATGATACAGAATTTCAAAACAAGATGATAGGAAATCAACAGTTGTTGTTATATTGCATATTGTTATCTTCAAAGTAGTTGTTCAGATTACCAGATATAGACATGCAAAATTGTCAAAAATATTTTAAGAAAAAAATTAAGCATTAACTGTTCCTTTCAAAAAACCAACAGGAATTAGTAGTACAATTATCTTAGCTATCTTGTATATATATATTTTTCCCTTCCTTCTTTCTTTCTTTTCTTCTTTCCCTCATCCCAGTTGTTCTTTGCTTTTGAGCAGTTTCTTGATATTGTGAAACTGCTGCTTTCTCGGAAAAAGATTCTACATTTATTTCTTCAAGTGTATTAGATCCTTGAGTACAATAATTCTGGTTTTTTGTTTGTTTGTTTGTTTTTAACCTGAAGTTGTATGTCAATAAAACTGGGTTGATCATGGGGTCTCATCTATAAAACAGATATAATGTTTCCATTCTTTCAGCCACCAGAGGAGGTTATACAAGTTTTGGGCAATGAAGTCCCCTGAACTCTTTAAAGAAAGGGTTGCCAATAGCTATGTTTTTTTAGAAAAGAAAACAATGTATTATAAAAATATAGGGTACCCAGTTACATTTGAATTTCAGACAAATAATTTTTTAATATGCATGGGTCATTCTTCTGCTAAGAAATTATATCTTGTTTATCTGAAATCAATTCTAACTTGGCATATTAGATTTTATGTGACAACTCTGTTTAGGATCCCAAGAACATAGTACTGAAACCTTCAGCTGGTTCTTCCTGCAGGCGTCTGGCTCTGCGGTGCTCTACCTGGAGTAGGTAAAGAAAGAACACCTTGATAGTGCCAAAACAAATGTATTATTTTGATCATAAAACCCTTGACGATGAACCAATAGATGTTTGTCTAGCCTGGGTCCCTTATAGTGTATTAATTTAAAATGTGTTGTTTAACTCATGGGTATTTTAAAATCATGAAAACATGGTTCAGTGAGGATCAGAGCAGGATGGCCTTTAGCAAATCGCCCATTGTGTTTTTATAGAATAAAAGGAAAAATTTGGAAGAGTTTTATGAGTAAAATAAAAGGATAGGATAAATAAAGATTGTAAGTATTCTAAATTTAATTGAATTAATGGGGAGAGCTAGAGGAAGAAATCTATGCTGGAGCTTTTTGCTATACACTTAGCATAAGCCCCCTCCCTCCGTACCATCTGTAGTGAAAACAGGGAGAAAATGCAGGAAACCTCTCCCTGCACCACAGGAGGACAACTCACCGTGAAACTGAGTTCCGATCTTTATCAGCCTACAAGTCAGAGGATGTAATTCCATGCATTTTGAGACAAATGACTCCACTAGAACAGCACAGGTAGATTTTAACAATAAATATTCAGTTTTGGCTGGCTTAGTTCTTATGAAGAGAAGTGCTGGGGTGTATTTCTTGGGCTGAAATCTCAGCTCTGCCGCATTTTACCTCCACGGAAAGCTGTGCAGCAGCAACTCAGTTTACTCGTGTGAAATGGGCATAGTAAAAAGCTATCATGTAGGGTTACTGTGTTTGCAGTGGGGTGGCTGCAAGCATTAAATCTTGTCTTACACACACATACACACATATACCCACACATATATAACAAGAATACTACCCAGTATATAATAGTCACTCAATAAATGTTAGCTAGATGCTAGAGAAGGACTTAAAGTTCCGAACAGAGGCCTAAAATTCCTAACAGCCTAAAGTGGATCCGGCACTATCCATGGAACGTTCTATGATGATGAAACTGTTCTATGGTAGCCTCCAGCTCCAGCCATATGTGGCTACTGAACACTTGAAATGTGGCTCTTTTAAAAGAGAAACTGAATTAATAATTTAAATTTGAATAATCACAAGCAGCTAACAGCTACTGTATTAGACAGCTTACATCAGACAATTTAGTTGGCTCAGAAATTTAGGTCAGGAGCTGTTTTCCTTTGTGCTGTTGATATATTTTATTAGCATCCATGCAGTGTCTGAAGCAGCACAGTATTTTTTGAGCTGGATTGATTATTCAGATGTTTACCAGAAATCTCATGTTCTAAAAAGCTAGGACTGTTCCACTGTGCTTTCCTAGAAGTCCTGATTGTCCTTCCTCTTTTAGATCTTTAGCTTCTTCCTTGTTACTAGAAACTGCCACTTAACAGTTAAAGCTGCCCCACATCAGCCATTTACGATGAAAAGCTCTTCCTCAATCCCACGAAAATCCCTCCTCCCTAACTATCACCCTTCTTGTTTTTAGTCAGCTCTTAAATCAGTGACGTTTACCATCCTCACTTCCTCAGAGAGACTCTGTATTTTATTCTGGTCTGGTTTCATCTCCACCTCTGCTAAAAAGACCCTAAACAATCATTAATGACCTTATTTTCACCAAATCTAATGAACAGGTTTAGTTCTGTTTCGCTCGACCTCTCAATACAGTGAACCACTTTCTCTTTCTCTGAAATACCCTCTTCCCTCGGCTTCTCTCGAGCCAAGTTCTCCTGGTGTTTTCCTTTGGCCTAACTGGTAGCTCCTTCTTCATCTCCTTTGTTGGTGTCACCTTTTCTACTCATCCTTTTAAATTTTAGATTTGTTAGGACACTGGCCTCAGCCTCAGCCCCACATGCACTTTTTCCTCTTTTAACAGAGAAAAGCATAGCTGTAAGACAATCCCTGCCATAGATTGCCGTATATACACAACTAACTCCCAGAATTATTACAGAGTTGTGATAAAAAACATGCAGTGAATGTATAAATTTAAGAGTTATTACAGTAAAAGGCACATTATCATTAACCCCCCTCAAAATACTTCCCCTTGTTTTACACACACTTATCCCACCATTCTTGATACTTTCTGAAGCAGTTCTGGAAGTCCTCTTTTGTGAGTATCTTTAGTTGCCTTCTCACGGCTGCTTCAAGGTTCTCTGTTGATTCAAAACATTTTTCTGGTCACTTTGACTTTAGATAAGTGCCAGATGTCATACCAGATCCAGTGAACAAAGTGGATAAGGCTACAGTGAAATGTGTTCATTGAACAGAAATTGCTATCAGTGTTTTGAATCAATGCAGGATATTGAGGCAGCCATGAAAAAACACTCATGAAAGAGGACTTCTGGAATTTCTTCAGGAAGTGGGAAGAAGGATAGGACAAGTGTGTTAAAAGCAAGTGGGATTCAGGGCAATATGCCTTTTGTTTTCTTTGCAATTTTTAATTTTTATTAGTACAGAATGATGACATTCCTTATGGGGAGTTGGCACATGTACATAACACATCTTAATTCTTTTACTGAAATGAATTCTTATTTTAAACATTCACCCTATTGTTGGATCACATGACGTATTTTTACCCTCATCTTCTCTTTGGAGATCCAGATCCGTACAACCCACTTCTTACCTCAGTATATCCAGTGGGGTGTCTCACAGCCGCCGTTTGGACATGCTCATACTGATGATTTTTTCCACTAAAAACACTTCTTACTTTTCTTAATAAGTGATACCACCAACGTGCCCAGTTGCTCAACCCAGCAACTTCGCTTTTTTGAAATTTTACCATTAGTTATGAGTAATCTTCCGTGTCACTCGTCTGTTTGGTAGTCATAGATATTTCAGTCTGAATTCTTCATATCTTTTTTCCATTATGGAAAAAATTTCCCTACCATTTCTTGCTATTATTCCAAATCTCTTCTTCTATGGATATTGACATTTCTAGATTTAGCTGTATTTGTCTCTTATATTTCTGTTCATGTTTATCAATTTTTGGCTTTTTATGCCAAGTTGAGAGAGTCCTTCAGCTTGATCTTTCAAATCTGCTAACTGCCTGTGTCTTTTATGTCACTTGTCCCATTAACTAAATTTTTATTGAACTGTCTTTATTTCTGGGATCTCAACTGACTCTTTTTAAATAATTGCCTGTTCTTATAATAATAGCTTCCACTAATCCTCCTCCAGTCCCTCACCAAGACTGAATTCACGTTTCTTCTAATGTATCTTACTTAACTGCTTCCTTCAGTTTGGGCACCTTTATCTATAGAGTTTGGTTTCTGTGTATATGTGTAACACTACAATTTTTAGTGGGCACATATCTTTTTTTAAGGTTGGCTATTTGCCTGTCCATTACTGTCACTTCTGCCTGCAAGGCCTGTCCCAGGGATGGCAGAGGAGAAATGGGCTATGTGGACAAGGATGTCTGTACTTCCTTGAAGCACAGGCACGGTTTGTTTTCCTTGGGTATGTGTAGCTACCTGGGTGTTTCCTCAGCTCTTCTTTCCCAAGCCCGTATTTCCTGTCCAAGTCTGTGGAGTCATGCATGTGCTATGTGTTACTTGTCACAAAGAGCTGTAATAATATAGTACCAACCTGTCAGCTCTTCATGTATCTCTCTGCATTACTGAGCTGTCCATTGTCATGACAAAATACCTAAGGAAAACAACTCGGGGCTGGGGATTTAGCTCAGCGGCAAAAGCGCCTGCCTGGCAAGCGCAAGGTCGTGAGTTCGGTTCCGGTACCGGAGAAAAACCAAAAACCAAAAAAATAAATAAATAAATAAATAAACTAAGGAAAACAACTCAAGAGGAGTAAAGGTTTACCTTGGCTCATGGTTGCAGAGGTTTTAGTGTGTGTTTACTTGGTCCTGTTGCTGTGGGCCTAGAGTGAGGCAGAACATCACGGCAGGAAGCACACAGCAGAAGAAAGCTGCTCAGCTCACCGTCAGTGGTAGGGGGAAGGTGGAGAAGGGGCTGGGGTTTCAGTACACCCTTTGAAGGCATGCCTACAGTGAGCCACTTCCTCCACCTAGGCCACACCTCTTACAGTTTCCACCAGTTCCCAAGAGCCCATTAAGCTACGAATGCATCAGTGGTTTAAAAGGTTGATCAATGCTCAGTGCCCTCGAGGTGCAATCACCTCCTAAAGGTTCTACTTCCGAGCCTGCTGCACTGGGGATCAAGCTTTTGACACATCAGCTTTGGCGGAACATTCTAGGTACAAACGATAACATTTATTATGCAGCCCTAGGCGCTCCTCATAATCCAGGCTGTAACTTTCCCCGTTTCTAACAGCTCTGAGTTTATAGCATAGCCATAGGCTTCCATTTTTAGGTACAGCCATCTCAGGAAGGAAGTTGTGAGTTTATTTGGCACTCAAATCCAGCCTATATCTCCCATCCCCATGTTCTTAAAAATCTGTTCTTTGCCAGGGATTTGAGGAGGGAGAAACAGGCATATATCTTTAGACCTCAATTTAATCTATCATTCAATTCATAATCCTTGAACTTGTTTTTATTTCTACTGATCCTTTAAGTTTAAAAAGGATTAGTTCCATTTTGAAATCTTTCTAGTTCTTTACACAAAGCTGAGATATTATATGTCTTTTTCTTTAGCACGTTGGGACCCAAAAGTGTTTACAGCTTATGATGTATTTCGTGTAAGCCTAATTACGTCTGAGCTTATTGTACGGGAAGTAGAAACACAACGGAGTGGAGTCAAGGCTGTATTTGACCTGGAAGGCTGGGAGTTTTCACATGCTTTCCAAATTACTCCATCTGTAGCCAAGAAGATTGCTGCTGTACTTACAGTAAGTGTGTATTTTAACTGTTACATATCATACTTACAACTAATTTTAATTTTTGGTAATTTATTAGATCCTCAAATAAAATTTTAGGAAAAATATATAACTGAATAATGCAATAGGTATAATTATAAGGTATAATTTATAATAGGAAAATATTGTAACAAACTGACATTAATAATCACAGAATTTATATATTTAAATAACAGCGTGACTTAATTTTTCTTGTCACTAAAATTTTCTTCCTAGAGAGCTTGTTTGGAGGTTCTAGCAAGGGAGCGCAGCTACTCGTATACCCTTGACCTAGGAACGGTCCTCCTCTGTCAGGGATAGTCATCCTCTTCCACCAAGCAGCAGCTTCAGGAGGGACGCATGTGGAGCATTGAGGGAGGGAGGGGACACCTGCCTAGCCAGCCAGATCAGCTGAATCAACCCTGGCGATCAATGGGGTGACAGATGTCACAGCCAGATTGCCCACACATCCAGTTTTCTTTCTAAATTGAAAAACTGACTCAAAACTAATTATAACACTGATTCAATAAAATATAACATAGGTATAAATTGTTTTGTCTCCTATTTTACATGTTAATAAACTATGTCAGAGAGGTGGACATAGCAGTGCTCAGGCGTACATTCTGTCAGCAGTGAAGTAAGGATTCCAGCCCAGGTGATCTGAATATAAAAGTCATGTTCATAATCACTACTTTTCCTATATATGAACAGTTATTGCAGCACCACTTCTAACAGAATAAAGTTAGAAACAACTTATTTGTTTAGAAATAGGAAAATGGTTACATAAATTATGGTATATTCATTCAACAGGCTTTGGAACAATATTAAAACTCAGGCTGATTAAAGAAATTGTATTTAGCACACAACAGGATGTAAATTACTTAGAAAATATATTAGAATTCTGTTTAAAATAAAATAAAATAAACAAAGAACCTGGAGAAATAAAAACTAGGGATGGAAAGAAAAATCTTGCACAAGAAAATTTTTGAAGAAAAAGTTTTCTTATTAATGACATAACTTGGGTAGAAAAACTATTTAATGAGAGTTTTTTTTTTTTTTTTTAAAAAGGAACTCTACTTTTTAAATAAGCCAATATTATTTGGATGGTAAAGATATATGGCTGGGAATTTAGCTCAGCGGCACAGCGCCTGCCTGGCAAGCGCAAGGTCGTGAGTTCGGTTCCCGGTACCGGAGAAAAACCAAAAAAAAAAAAAAAAAAAAAAAGATATACACTAGTGTGAAATGCTTAAAAAGTTTGTATCTATTGTTATATTCTTTGAATTTTCATGAGAGTTTGGTTTTTTTGGACAAAAATAATTTTGGCAGAAATGTCAAATTATAAATGTTTAAATTAAGGAACAATTTTATGTGATTCTGTAAAGGGTTTTCTGGTGCAAATGTATGTGTATTTCCTTTTTTCCCCCTGAGACCCATAAAAAGAAGCATTTATTTATTCAGTCGCTGTTTCTTGCGCCCCTTTCAATTCCCTTTCCCTTTCCTCCCTCCCCTCTGCATCCACCTCTTGATCCCCTTCCTGTTGACTGTACACGTTTCCAGCACGTGCTTTTTACCTTCCTTATACGGAGCTGGCACCTCTGCATATCGCATCTGAACCCCTTTTTCTTAAAAGACTTTGCCTAAGAGAAACTTTTTAAAAGATCTTTTCTTAATATAGTGACAGTAAACTATAAGCTAAGTTTTTACGTTGAATGAATAAATAATTTTGAAAATGAAATCATTCTCTAAGTACTGCTATAAGCTTGGAGAGTGTTTAGGGAAGAAACTTGGCTTTATGAATAAAATTGTAATATTTATTTATGCTTTATTATTAAGATGATTTTTTAACTTTCAAAAGGATTCATTTCCACTGAAAGTTCGTGGCATCCATTTGATAAATGAGCCGGTAATTTTCCATGCTGTGTTCTCCATGATTAAACCATTCCTGACTGAAAAAATTAGGGAACGGGTAAGTAGATTGAAGTCATTATTCTACACCAAACATTCTACCCCTTTTTCTCAGGACTGCTTTATTACCCTCCCCGGATGCCCACCAACCCAATCTATTGGACCACTATTTTCAGTATTTATCTAATAAGAAAACTTCTTTTATAAATTAATCTTTATTTTTAATTTAAAAAATTAAGCACATTTGTTTTAAGGCTGATCTCTCACGTAGCCTGCTGTAGTGCAAAATGGAATATTACCTGTAGAGGGCAGTGTGGCAATAGTTATCAAAATCACAGCCTTTGCACTTTGGAGAATTACCCTACAGATGTGTGCCCTTACATAAACAAAATAACATGTACAAGAGTATTTATTGCCAAAAAGTATTGGAAACCACCAAGTATCCATCATTAGAGGACTGGTTAAATACATTATGATATAACCACACAATGGAACACAAAATTTGCAAGATAAATTGTAAGATAAAATTGAAAATGCAGAGTGATATTGATGGTACACTACCTCTTCTATAAAAATGGAAGAAATGAGAATATGTAATTATATTTGCATTAAAATTACATAAAAGAATATATAGGAAAATAAGTGATTACATACATACAAAAAACAGAGTAGGGATGTAGACTGGAATGGCTGAGGATAGGGTTGATAGGAAAATACTTCATTGTGTATATTTCTCTTTTCCTTTTTTTTTTTTTTTGATTCTGAGGATTGAACCCAGGGCCTTCACACTGAGCTATATCTGCAGACCTTTTTGGTTTTTATTTTGAGACAGGGCCTCACTAAGTTGCACAAGCTGGGCTCAAACTTGAAATCCTTCTGCCTTAGCCTCCTGAAGTACTGGGATTACAGATGTGCACCCCATGCCCGGCTCATTGTGTATCTTTTATCTTATTTTGAGTTCTAATTGTGTCAATGTAATATTGTGCAAGTAAAAATATTTTTCTTAATTAAAATATGTAACTGAAAACCATAATACCCTTATTGTGTGACTTAATATTATATTAGTTAAACAAAACAAATTTGATGGGTTTTATTGTTTTACCTGTCCTGTGAAGATATCTGTGAATAAGCTAACATTTTTGAAGGACTAAAATAGAGTTCTTGAATTCTAAAAATGGCAAGCCTTCTGCAACAATCTGTGGAGAATCACTAGAGTGTTTAGACCAACTGTGGCATCATTTACTGCATTGGACACAAAAATTTTTTAAAACTGAAAATTCAAACCTCAAAGATCATTTAAATATAAATACTGATAATGTGGATTATAATTTTTTGGCTTTTTTTTTTTTTTTTTCGTATTGGGATTCAAATCCAGGCTCTGAGCATGCGATAGCATGTGAGGCCATACTGTACCCCTGAGCCACATCTTCCGCTGAAGAAACTATATTTTTTATCTTAAGAAATGATAAGAAATTATGGCACTAGAGCTTCTTTACAGGTTATCCAATGAGTATTTCTATCTTCAAGGTGAAGCAGCTATAAATTATCTGCTTTAATGAAAATGGACACTTCACCGCTTTTCAGTCTAGAAGTCGGGAAAGAGAAGTCCATAATTTGTTCATTTTGTTTCTCTCTTCAGTGTATCCTGAAAACAGAGTTCACCCTCTATATAATTCTTAGAGATCTAAAAATAAGTTTTTCTATTTAGTCTTATATTCTGGACAAATAAAAACAAAAATGAGCTGACCCTAATAAAAAGCCAGCATAGGCACAAAAATATTTTTAAAAGGAGAGCTTAAACAATTCAGTGAAAATGAACTGATATGAAATAGAGTTGTCAAAATGTGGGGGAACAATTAAATCTAGCCATTTTTTTCATTTTCAAGTTATTGGAAACACTGTAAGTTTTATTTCCCCCCCTTGAGAGGATAGAACTTCTCATCTGATAATATTTTAAACATTTCAGAAAAATTCAAGGATTGGTATTGTGAGATTCCTTAATCTAGGACACTCATTTATTAATCATAATATCCTAGCATATAGTAGGTGCTTAAATTGTTGTTGATGGCATAGATGGACATTTTGCCTAGCAATGGAAAATATTTCTTTCTTTATTTTGTACTTTTGGGCTCTTAATTTTAGAGCATTCTATGATTTATAGTTTACTATTACCACTACTACTAGTAATAGTAGTAGTAATGGTAATAGAGATTGAACTCAGGGAATGTAAGTCACATCCCCAGGAATTTCTATTTTATTTTTAGCCACAGTCTCCCCAAGGTGCTCATGCTGATCTGCTTGCAATCCTCCTGTCCCAGCCTACTGAATAGCTAAGATTACAGGCATACATAACCATACCCAGCTATGATCAATTTTTAAACTTTAGGTGAAAACATAACCATCATAATTAAGTTATAATTATCTAAGTTTGTTTAGTTAAGACTACACAATACAATGTAAATTATTCCTCATATACCCAATTATGTGCTAAGATATGTTTGTATTTACTATGAATTAATATTGGGTAGTACATTTTTACCATCTTTTATAAATCTTGTACAGTTAGAAGAATGCACATGTAATAAAGTAATTCATCTTTTAGATTCACTGCAGCATAAATAATATTTATAAATTTTAATTTTATAATTTTACTAATATTTATAAAGAATACAGATACATCCTCTCCTACCTTCGAAGTTATTAAAGGATTTTATGAGGTTGATTTTTCCACTGTAAATGTGTCTAATATAGTGATGGGGAAGAGGATGCCTTCTAAAACATTCTGGTTATTTCAGATTCATATGCATGGGAACAATTACAAACAGAGCTTACTCCAGCATTTTCCTGACATTCTTCCACTGGAATATGGTGGTGAAGAGATTTCCATGGAGGACATCTGTAAGGAGTGGACAAATTTTATAATGAAGTCTGAAGATTATCTCAGCAGCATTTCTGAGACCATTCAATGACTTACTTCATCCAAATGGTTTCCTAATTAAAAGTACGTAAGATCTTAGATGAATGAAAGAAAAAGAGCAAATCTTTTAATTACTGCTTGTGTGATCTTTTAAAAAGTAAAACCCTGTAATGTGAGCAATATGGATGTTTAGAAAGCTTTTAAACCTTTTCTTCATTTTTGAAGTATTAAATGTTAGTATACTGGAATAGCATAGGAGAGATTACCAATTTTTGCACTTGAAGAAATAACATAGAAAGTGATTTCTAAAGTGGCTATTCATCTGCATCTTGGTAGGTTTTTATAAAATTTGATGTTAAACAAGTTTTCTGATTACATTTGTTTAGTCATAGATTTATAAAATCTACTTAAAGAAGTATTTGCACTAATCAAGTGAGTATATAAAACCATTAACACTCACTTTGTGTGGGTGTCAGATTAGATTATAATTTAGGCCAAAATCTGAACACAGTTTTACAGTTAATTCTGTGGCCAGCAGGATAGTTCATGTCAGGAAATCCTATTTTAGCACCTTTGCACAATAGAAACTTTTCACTGGAGAGTCTATATGCCAAACTATTGTATATAGAATCTATAGATCTATATAAAGTTACAGTTGATAATAACTGAATAAAATATAATTTGGAAAATATTTCAGACACAGTTCATGGTTTCTCAATGCTGTTTTGTATTTTTTAACAAATCAAGAATATAATTTTGAATTCGGTTTATGGTTATTCTTATGGCTACATTACATAGAGATTTAGAGTGATAATAATATTTAATTGTCTTACACACTGAACTTTTGGTTGAATAATTAACAGAACTGTACAAAAGAAATGTTTACATTTCTTAAATCATTGTCAGTTACACCTGGTATTTCTCAGTTTACACATAAAATAAACTAGTTTTACTCTTATATTAGAATATTCTGAATCCCACAATTCTTGCTTTTTTAACAGTGGTTAGGATGTACTATTGGTAGTATAGTTTGTATAAAAAATATTTCATTTATCAAGAGAGATATAATCTCACCCCTTATGGTCAAAATATCTTTCAATTTATGATATAATTTTTATACTTAGTATTTCATAATTTTATTTTAAACATGAAAATAAAAGAATATACAGTATGAAATTTGTTGAACATATGTTCAGCTTGTTAGGTTTCAACATTAATCATACAATAGTATCTTTGTGCAAAGATATTTTGCTGTGTGAAGGGTGTTTTTCTTCATAAGAAAATTAGTCTAATCAGGTGAGCTGATACTTCTAATTCTTTGAAGTTATATCTATGAAGAAACAGTAATTGTGGATGTTCTTTAGAGAACGTGTTTGATTTTGACGTAGCATTGAGAAGCTAACTTGACATTATACTTTTTATAAAAAAAAATTAGATCCTGCCTGTTTTATTAAAAGAATTTTAAAGTCTTTATAAAATCATACAATTTCAAATCATATAATTAAAATCATAATGGAAAAATCACTTAAAAGGATAAGCAGTAACAACAACAGAACACCTCCAGTTTGTCCAACATTTATCCTAGAAGGATATTTATATCACATGTTCTACTTCATTTACATTTGCCTTCTTAATTAAAACAGTTTCTTATGATTCTATGAAGCAAAGTTTAGTACATGAATAAATAATAATATTTTAAAACATCTTTTAAATGTGTTTCATTAGTGATGTGTTAAGAGTAAATGAAATTAAAATAAGTTAATCAGTGCAGGTACATTTTATGATGGATCATTGGAGTTTTATAAAATAAAGTTCTCTGAAGGACACTAAGAATAATGTGAAATGAACAGGTAATTTTATGAAATGTCAAGGTAAAAAAACTATGTTTATATTCCATTAATACAATTGTACTACAAGTGCCTTTTGAAGGACTAACTCCATATGTGCTCTTTATGTTACTGAACTGAACAATAATTTGTTTAATATTGTTTAAAATATTAAACATCTTTCAATTAAACCACAACGTACAAGATTTTGTTTAAAAATATGAATATGGGGCATTCTTTTCCCAAAACTTCTTTTTCTAGTTGTCCACTATACAAATGTCAGTTTTCTGTGTGTATGTGTGAGTGTGTGTGTGTGTGAGTGTGTGTGTGTGAGTGTGTGCGTGTGTGCGTGTGCTGGGGATAAACCCTAGAGTCTCACACAAGACACAGAAGTGCTCTACCAACTGAGCTACATTCCCAGCTCCTTTTACACATTTTAATGAAAGGTTGATTTTGCCTGCTGCCGAGTTCAAAATGACCTTCTCTTAACATCTGTTGCTGGAACCACACATTACTAAGGAAACTAATTTCACAAAGCTAAGACATACGTACATAAAGAGTTAAAACTCTGAAAAAAAGCCACAGCATGCCACTTAATCAGATAATGCTTTGCTTTAACAGAATTTATTTTTAGAGCAGTTCTGGGTTAATAGCAAAGTTCAACATATGGTGCAAGGTAAATAATTTTGAAGCAATCTATTAGCCTACATCATGATTTTGTCAAACTCGATTTTTCATACAGAAAGTACTAAAGTTCTATTGGAAATATTATCTTTGCCACTTATCTAAAATAAGCCTGGAGGGGCTGGGGATTTAGCTCAGCGGCAAAAGCGCCTGCCTGGCAAGCGCAAGGTCGTGAGTTCGGTTCCCGGTACTGGAGAAAAACCAAAATAAATAAATAAATAAAATAAAATAAAATAAAATAAGCCTGGAGATATAAAAAAGTCAGGTCACATATAAAGGAGGCACAAACTCAGTTAACTGGTAACATGCTATCTGAAACATTCCTTATAGGCCCTCTGTGCTGAATTTTACCATGCTTAGATGCTGTGGGAAAACTGCAAGTAACAAAGGTGGAGCTAGAAATGACGGCAATAAAACCACCATTGGCAGCATTATGTTCCCACTAATTTTCTGTTTAGCAAGGATATACACCATCCTCCTCTGCTCCCATACTTAGAACTTGACTGACTGCTCTCTTATCTATCCAAGTCAATCATGTTAACTTATCTAATATAAAGTTTACTGCTTTAGTGGTTTGGTGTTTTGATAACACTGTACTTTGAATTATGTACTATACTGAAGAGAAAAACTAACCAGATGCTATTTATAAGAAATAAAAAATACTCAAAAGAGCTATTAAGTTAGGTACATTGTAAAGATCATTAGGATAACTCCAATAAAGTGCTTTGGGAAAGTACACGTACCTTGAGACCATAATGTTAAATGGAATAAACCAGACACACAAGGTTAAATATTGCATAGTTTCTCTTATATGAGAAACCTGTAATATAATTAAAGAGCAAAATAAAATATCAGTAATAGAAAATAGGGAGATAAACCTTTTGCAAATGGGAAGGGTACCAAGAGATGGAGGGAGGGGGGAAGGAGAATTAAGATGTGTTGTGCACTGTACAAAATTCCCAAGAGGAGTGTGATAGTTACATACTGCAAACATATATTAATAAAAAAATGGAAAAAAATAAAGTGCTTTGGGAGTTGAACAGAAGGAAAGGTAATTTTCACCCACAGTGACTGAGGGTGCACTTTTAGAGCAGATACTCTTTGAAGCAGTATTTAAGCACAATTAACTTTCCTAGATGGTAATGAGAACTGAGATGAGGAAGGACATTTCAAGAAAAGAAATAACATGAGCAAAGACTCAGAGATGAAAATAACAACATTTGGGAAAGAGTAGAAAGTTCCACGTAAACCATGTTACGGAAGCCTTGAACACGAGCTGAAGGGCTCTGTAAAAGTGTATTATTTTCTGCCATATAGTAGATGCACATATCACCACTGACCTTTCTAAACAAAAGAGGTCCATTTTTACATTCTTTGCTCAAAATCACAGAGATTGCAAATGACAGAATCGGACTAAACTCAGCTCTGGCTCTACTGTCTACACACTTCATGACGCTGTGGTGATCATATTAGACCTGATTCCATCCGATTCTATCAGTCCTATCTTGAAACAGCTGACTCGAATCCATTTATAATAGTATCTTACCCAATCTGTTGTAACAGCCTCCTCTTGTTCCACAGCTTTCCAACTGTTCCTTCCTTTACCCACCCTTTCCTTGCACCACAATTATCTTTCTGCAAGATTTCATTTCCAGCTTTTCAAGACAGTGGCACTGCTCATAGGCTAAATTGCTCATTGGCCCCCAGACCCTTCACACCTCGGCCCAACTTGTTTTTCCATCCTCACAATGCCTGACTCCACCTACACTCCAGACAAGCTACCAGCTCTCCACTGAAATCATCACCCTGCCCACAGAAGACAAGAAGGGAGGTGAGTTTAGTTTGTTCTCTGAGCCTTTCTTCTTCCTGCTTCCTCTGCCCAGGGAGATGCTTTCTTCTCTGATTGTATTCAGTCCTGCCCATGTGTCACCTCTGTGAAGCCTTCTCTAACTCTCCCCAGTAATAATTCCTTGCTTCCTGCTATATGACCCTTGTTTGAGTTTATAACTGCCAACCTGCCTGTCTCCCTGTCAGAAAGCATTCTTAAATGCAAACACTTTTCAACTTTACGTAATTAGTACCTAACCTCAGTATCTAGCACAGGGTCAATATTCACAGAGGGCAGATCTGATCCAGGGATATATTATCACAAACTTGGGTGACTGTCATCAGAGGGACAGCTACCAGGCCCTGTGGCATGATGAAGCCCCGCACTGTGCTTCATCGCAGGATATTATTTAGCTGTCTTACAATGATAAATTCTTGCCTATGGAGCTTCATTTTTGTTTCAAACTCCACTCTAATTTCACTATTTTAAATATCTTATTAGCTTTAATTTTTGAATTGATTATACATTTCCATTCTTTCCATTTCATTTACATTTATATACCTACAGGCTGGCCTCCACGAAGTTGGATAGGAGAATAACCGTGAAGAAAGCCATGTTGCAATTTTGGGTATCCTGCACAAACACTTCTCCCGTTAACAAGAAAATTTAAGCCACTGTTGTGTTGAGCTCTTCTGGTAGATGTCCAGCAGCATATCTTCATTGCGTGTTACAGCACTCTCTCAGGCACCATGTAGTTGGGGGGACGCAGGGATGTGGGTCGGGAATGGTCAGGCACAGTCCGCACTGTGTCCAACCTCCCTTTCCTGCTGCTCAGTCTTCCACTTACAATTCAGGTCAGCCTCATTTGGGGAATTTCAATCCACCAGTCACCCCTGAAAGGGTCTAAGTCCCAACTACCTGAATTTGGTAAGTAGATAACCTTGGCTCAGTAAAGATTGTTAACACTCAGTACGTTTACTCCAAATCCTTGCCCATGAGAGCATAGCATCTTTACACACAAAATACAATTAATAATCCTCAAGCATCGAGGACAAATCTCTCTTGAAGGAAATATTTTTTCTCCTAAAATAATTAATATCATCACCTGTTTTTCTGTCTCCCTAAAGCTAAAAGATAAGTCTGAGGATTTCTAGAATTACCTGATCATTTCCAATACTGGATCCCTACTTTTTCTGCTATTGGTTCTACACAATGAAGATTATCCCCAATCTGCAAAATTGAGCCTATGTCTACATTTCAAAACCTCAAGTGCTCTCTAGTCTCTTCTCCCACCTTTCCATTTTCTGATTACTTATCAACCTTTCCCCTTTGATTTACATCAAAGACATGGATACACTTTGCAGGCCTTCAACCAAAAACAACTGCTGTCCTCATCACCAAAGCTGCTGTAAAATTAGACAGTATAGTGTTGGGTTCACATTTCACAATTTAAGAACGTAAGCCTACTTTCAATAGAAATGCACTCCAAATGGGACCCTTCAGGTGAAGGTCTTTCAAGAGTCCCCAGCATCAGATGATGACCAGAGGTAGACTACCTTCCACAGAACAAACGTATGACATCTTGAGATCAGCTGCCACCCAAGAATAACATCTCTTGAGTCCTACCTTCAATCTGCTCCATATTTTCTCTTTGTATCTTTCTCATTATCCTCCTTTCTTTTTTGATCACCTGTATCAAATTTTCCTTGAGTTATCTACCTTTATGCCCACCCGACCATTTTGTTCTTTTTCCTATTCCTCATTTATCTATACTCAGGACCCCCTAAATTTTGAAGCCTTGAAAATAAAGCTAACAGAGTGGTAGGAGATGTCCCCAGCTCACTGCTACAGAGAAGAATTTAAATAGTTTAGGAAGAGTTCAGCTGCATATATAGTGAAAACCCTTCCCTGCTCTTTAAAACAAATACTGGCTTAAGAAACTTTCACTTGAGTTGTTTCCGATAAATGGCTGATAAAAACCAGAATCAAACAGCTGCTTAACTGACATATAATTAAGAGGGAGAAAAACGAATCATCCTTTATGAAGTAGGGGAAATTATACCCTGGGCACCCATAAGATGTAGTAATACAATAAAGTTATTTAACATAAACAAGTTATTGGTAAGAAACCCTATCATTGCACATAGTACTTAACAAGATTCAAGGGCAAAAGGTCATTGTAGGAACTACTTAGTCACATTTAAATATCAGTACAGTGGGGAGGATAAGGTTATCCACTAGAAAGTTGTTGGGGTTTCCACTATATTTATGGTAACAGTATTAGATTTGTAGAACGTGAGTAAGTTTGTGTACCTTGGAACCTCTGCGTCTCTGTTCACTAAGTTCATATCCTGGAAAGCAGCCTCACTTCTAGCATTTACTAGACTTTTCTGGGCCCAAACTGAAGTCTCTAGCCCATTAATGGAAAATGAGACTAGTTTTCTTTTTAACCAACCATCACCGGAGTGCTAACTTTCAATGCTAAAAGGCATAGCCATCAGGAATAGTACAAAAACCTCTGAGTGAATTAGTCAGTGAATTTCTTTACTCCTGGGAGGTTCCAGCCAGGCAAATTAAGATTCATCTTTGTTTCATTAGCTCTGGTGGTCTTTATTTTGTTCTGTAAAATTTCAATTGTGATTATTCTGCTTTTTAAAAAAATATTCAATATGTTTTACCCTAGGTGTCTACTTTTAATTTTTGTTTTGCATGATACCAGCCTTTATTGCTCAGACCCTCTCATTGCTGGTACCATTCAAAACTCAGCACACGTCCTATGGGAAATATAACCAACATGTGTTTTATATTCATAATCATTTTTTTTTAGCCAGTGTCACATTACTACAAAAAGCTCTTTTCCCTGGTATTATCTCTGAATGTGAATGTTAATTCTGATGTATCAATTTCAATTGGATTAAGAAACACCAGCAGATTAGTAAAGCATGCTTCTGGGTGTGTCTGGGTGAATCCTAAAGACATGACCTTGGGTAATATATATGCCCCTTTGCCCATTCCTCTCTGGCACTGTTCTCCTCCTCTGCCTCCCCAGCCCCTGTGGACTAAGCAGCTTTGCTCTATCACAACCTTCTGTTATGATGTTTGTGCCTTAGAGACATCTGACTGTGGATTGGATCCTCCCAAACCATGAGCCAAACTAAAGCTTTCCTCCACTAAGCTGTGAATGTCTGATACTGCGTCTAGCAACAGGAAAGATGGCAAATACACTGAGCTTCAGTATGTCCATCTATACATGTATCAGTCAGTCACCCACTGTATGTGTGGGTGTACACATTTTTACTTTTATTCTGTCCTTTATCCTTTTTTCTTCATATTTGCTGTCAGTTTTAAATGGCATGTTTTGACTTATACCTAGTATCTATACCGTCATGGCCTCAGTTTTTCTTTTTCTCCCTCCTTTTTTCTCTCAATTGTCTATTTGCATTTTTAAAAAATTGGTAGAGCTTTGCTGGTTTTTTCTTTTTTTTTTTTTTTTGAGATTTCATCTCACTCTGTCACTCAGACTGGGCCTAAACTTTTGCGCTCACATGATCTCCCTGTTTCAGACTCCCAAGTAGTGAGGACTACAGGTGCATGCCCCATAACCATTTTTACATTCTTTCACCCATGTTCCCATCCTTAGTCTTAGCTCTACCATTTAATACTGATTAGTTACACTGTAAATTTTCCTAGTTATGTATTGTTTAGGTTAAGTTTGTCTTCTAGTTGGTTTTCCAATAAGAAAATATAAATACAGTATTTCTTTGGTTATAGAATGTTCAAAACTGTGTTTCGATAGACCTGTTGCTTGAAGTATAGCTCAGCTGCATATAGAAATAATAAATTAGTATTTTTTTAAATGATGCTCCATTGTTGTCTTGATTTTTGTATTGCTCTTATAAAGTGTGAGGTCATCCAAATAGCTTTACCTTCATAAGTAAATTGAGGGCGTAGTGGTGCACGCTTGTAATCCCAGCACTTGGGAGGCTGAGGCAGGAGGATCCTGGTGAGTACGAAGCCAGCCTGGGCTACAAAGTGAGCTCAAGGCCAGCCTGAACTGCATAGTGAGACCCTGTCTCAAACACACACACACACACACACACACACACACACACACACACACCACCCTTCTCTTCCTCTCCTTTCTTCCCTTCCCCCTCCCTATCTTCCCTCTTCTTCTGACATGTATATTGGACTTTCTTTGTCTGTGATAAATTTCTAGCACTTTCTTCCTGACTTGAAGTTTTGTATTTTCAAATCATTTTAATGAGCCTATTAATTGCTTCTTTTCTTCACTGATGTTCATTAAATTTCAATTTGATATTTCTGGCTTGGACAGTGATGATTTACTTTTCATTTCTGAGATATTCAAGTTTTTTTTTCTGGATTCGGCTAGTATTCCTTCCTGGGTTTTATCCATTTGTATTTCAGGTTTTGAATTTGAGATTCTAAATTTGACACACACACATACACACACACACACACACACACACACACACACACACTCTCAGTTAGGTTGTCTGAGGATAATTTTAGTTTGGATCTTGGCCTTAGGGGTGTGTGTGTGTGTGTGTGTGTGTGTGTATCCATGTAAGACCTGTTATTATGTAAAATGTTAAAATTCACCTTTTCTCTTTCCTCTAAAAGTTTTCCATTGTGTTGGCTTTTTAAAAATATGCATTTTATTTTTATACTTATGTGAACAATATTTTCTTTGATCAATATAATCAAGGGCAATTCCTTCAATAGGTAGTATTTTTGGTGAGAGTACTGGTGTGTGTATGAGGGTAAGGTAGGGTGGCTGGCATGAATTGATTTTGTTTCTTTAGGATCTCTAATCCCTCCTTTTTTTCTTCTTTCCTTTCATTGCCCTGTGTTTTAGGGGCACTCTCTCTTGGCAATGTAGCTAAATCACTCTGAGAAGTAATTCTTATCTGAGGTTTTCACCTCTGGTCTAATTTTCAAGTCATTTTCCTGTAACCAATGTTGTAACCTACTCATGCTTGCTATGCTTCTGGCACTTATTGTTTGACATATTCTTTGGTAGATAAAATATTATAGATATTTACATAGATATTATCTATTGAATTTTTATAAAAATATTATCTATTGAAGGAATTGCCCTTGATTATATTGATCAAAGAAAATATTGTTCACATAAGAAGCATAAAAATAAAATGCATATTCTGGATTTTGCCTCTTTTTTGTCTCTATCATTCAATACCTTTCTTTTTCAAAGCTTTTTTGAAGCCTTGCATCCCCCACTCAACACACACACAGTATTTCAGCAATAGAGGTTGCTTTCTTTGAAATTTGGCACTTATTAATTTTCTGATAATTTGATGCTTATGGTATGCTATGTCTCCTAGTAATGCTAAAACTACAGGTCATGTGTAGCTTTATTTGCAGTCTTCGTATATATTATGGTTTTCTGGAGAAGATACATGGAAAAATTCTGGTGTAATCAGTTGAAATCATTCTCTAGACCCAAGTATAATTTATCTCTTTTTAATAGACATTTATCTGTATCTCCAACTCGTTTTTTTTCTTCCGGTACCAGGAATCGAACTCATGACCTTGCACTTGCCAGGCAGGTGCTGTGCCGCTGAGCTAAATCCCCAGCCCCTCTCCAACTCGTTTATTTCTGTGCTTGATAGTTTATCACCTAAATAACTTATCAAAAAAGTTACAAAGAAAATATAAATATGTTCTTTTTTGTTTACACATGCATGTGTTTCTCTAGGGTATTGTCTTAGTCTGTACTGTGTTGCTATAACAAAATACTTGAGGCAAGGTGATTTATAATAAAAATAGGTTTATTTGCTGCACAGTTTTGGAGATTCAGGAATATGGTGCTGGCATCTGCTCAGTTCTGGTGAGGGCCTCATGGGAGATGCCTTCGAAATGGTGAGTATGTGCCAAAGGGGGAAGAGAAATCATTTGGAATTTGATTTTGTGTGTAATCTCAGGTAATAATTAAATTTTTTCTTTGCAGCTAGCCAACTGCTTTCATGTTACAAACTCATATTTACAAAGGCTCTTTGTTTACTCAATTATGGTCAAAATAAGGTCGGCATTTTCACAATATCTTTCACTACATTTTGGGGGGCTTAGTACAACCTTCAATAGTACCGATTATTTCTTGTAAAACCAGGCTACTTATTGCATCTTCTTGAAATATAATTAAAGTTTGCTCTTGTCCTTATCTTTCTTTCCTCAGTAAATTATAAACCTCTTGTGGAAAAAAAGGCATTGTCCAACTCATTTTTTACCGCAGTACTTGGGCGCTGATAGAACGGGGTTTCAAATGCTCCTCAATTTTAATTGAGTTTTGGTCTTCATAGGTGGAAACTTCCACCTACCACAAGCTACACATTCATTTGGAAATCTTCAAAGTACTTTTAATGACTAGGAACCAGAGTCACCACTTCCGGCTCTTGGAGGGCCGTCCCCAGCTGTCCGGGGCGCGGTAGCGGAGAATCCCTCGGGCCGGGCACCCTCAGCAGCCGTCAGGACTCGGCCCGCTCCGGCCCGGCTCCGAGGCGAGGCCACGCACCCGCGAACGCGTTCAAATCCGTGGTCCTCCCCTCTTCACACCCTCGGGGCGCCTGGACTCCCGAAAGGAACATCAAGTCCTCACACCGCATGCTCGCGCGCCCAGCTCGGCGCCGCCCCCGGACACAGCAACCTCTCGGCGACGCGGGAATCTCCCACGGGGGATGGGAGGCGCAGCGACGCAGCAGTCAAGAGGGACGACTCGCAGGGATCCAACCCCCAGGACCGCCTCAGGCGCCGGGGCGTCTGCTCGGACGCTGCGGGCGGGGCGGGGCGGGGCGGGCGAGCGTGGGCGGGGCGAGCGACTGTGGGCGGGGCGGGAGAGCGCGTGCGTTCTCCGCCACTGGCCGCCTCGCCCCGCCCCTGAACGGGACCGCGCTTCCCATTGGCCCGCTCGGCGCAGCGCCGCCCCGCTCGCCCCCGCGACTCTGCCTCAGGAAGTTACCCGGACCTCGGCGGCCCCCGCCCGGCCGCAGTGCCTTTGAACCACGGCGGGAGAAAGCCGGCGTGATGGCAGGGCTGGGCCGCCTGCTGTGCGTGATGGGCCTGCTCGTCTGTGTGGCGCCCAGCCTCGGGCTGCCCAGACTCCCCAAATCTACCAACCAGAAACCCATCATTGGTAAGAAGGCCGTGAGGGGCCTCAGCCGGGTGGACAGCTGGGTGTCATCGCCGGGCGCCGGAGGACCCTGGGCCCCACATACGGGGCTGTGGGCCTTCGTTTTCTTTTGAATCAGCTGAAATGTAGCTGACGTCTCTGATTTCTTGGGGCTCTTAAGTTGGGAAGAAAGAGATGCACTGTGAAGGCTTTACGTTGATTTTCTTTTGTGCATAATTAGGCATTTCCACTGAAAGAAATAACATTTTTCAGGTAGCTAGGAATTTCTCCTAGTTTACGTAAATCCATACATATATTTATATAACATTCCTTGGTTGAGGGCGTATTGAGATACAATGCATTATACATAGACATGGAGTGCATTAGGTAATCAAATTAAAGTGTACTGTATCTTGGACTTTTGTCATATTCAGCACCAGCAGTGGCTAGCAGAATCATAATATCAATTCTATGTAATGTTAGAGTGAAACATAATTTTTTTGTTCTTATTATGTTTTGAAAAGAATATAAAATCAGTTTGCATTAACAGAATAGACATTTGAGACAGGGCTGGGGAGAGCTACCTAGGAAAAATCATCCTGGGATTGAAATTTGCCTAAAGAAATTTCTATGTGGACAGTATTGGTTTTATCCCATCCTGTGGAGGATTGTTCCATTCATACTATTTTTTCTTTTCATGAAGCTAAACACTGTTTTCTGTAACCAAACAGAGACTAGATGACCATTTTTCATATGTATGGGTTGTACTCAGTTTTCAAATGGGCTGCATACTAATTCTGGAACCCAGAGTGTCTTATTCCATAGGTATTAACAATGATGGGTAGGTTCTTCCAGGAGAATCTTGTAATTAAAGGTACTAAGTTAAAATTTTATGTGCCTAGGGAAGGAAAAAAAAGAAAGAAGAGATATTTATTTCCCTTTTTTGGAATTGGGGTACCCGTAGGTCAAATATAGAGAAGGAGACTCTGGTTTTGGTCACCATAATCAAGTAAGATAAAATAGTTGACCAAGCAGCAGTGTATGAACGCATTACTGTAGGAAGTGTGTATGAATCAAAGGCAAGGAAATCACAATAGGGAAAGTATGTATGAGATTTTGGCCAGGTATTCATGGACAGGGAGTATAGCTTGAGCTTTTTACCAGGGATGGGAAAAGTAATTGTGGAGCTGTGGTGGCGCTGAGTAGGGAGGGGGTGTTGGTGCCCTGTAATGTAAGTTCAGGAAACCACCGAGTTGTTAAGCAAGGTGGTGATCTGCTGTTTTGTTTTCCTACTGCTTTCTCCCTTTCCTCACATGGCTGTAGTCAAGAAGATTCCTTACAGTATGACAGGCTGACTCATGAATTTTGCATTTGCATGTCCCTTCTCCTGGATTGCTGGTCTCCCAGAAATCTGCATGTGGCTTCCTTACCTAGCTGAAGGTCTGCCTCAAATGACATCTTACACCTTTTCAGAGAGGGCTTGCTTAGTGTTGCATAAATTTCCTGGAGACATGTAAAGGAAATGCCTGCCTCTGAACTGAGAGGGGCTGACAGACCAAAGAACTACTTGGACAAGTCCAGCTTGGGGAGTTACTTATAGAGCAGTGGATGACTTGTAGGCTACAACACTACCAAATTTGCCCACCTCGCTGTGCTAGGCGGTTGGTTTTATAGGACACCGATGAAGATGACAAAAGCAGAATCAAGAGCAAGAAGGGTTCTTGGGAAAAGTTATGTGCACTCCACCCTCATTTCAGCCTTACAAAAAACTCTGCCAGTCTCAGTAAGCACTGTCTAGCCACAGTGATGGATGACCTTGTTATGCTGCAGTCTGGCATGTAGCCTGAGCACCTGGTGTTGGGGGTGTGGCTAGGGGTCCACTGAACAGCTAGGCCAGGAGGCATGCACCACAAGATAGAGTTACTTTGGCTGAGATGGAGGGGTACAATTCTTCCTCCATCCCACCCTTTGTCCAACTCTTAAGATACACGGGCGCGCGCACACACACAGGTTTCATGAGCCTTGGAAGAGATGTCGTCTCCTTTGACAGAGCTGAGCACTAGACTGTTATGTCCCAGAAACAGTATGGACTGCAGCAGTGGGTGTTCACTTTGAGAATGACACACTTGAGAGTTCACGTCCCCAGTAAAGTGTGTAAGACTCCATCTGGGTTCCAGAGTCCCCATAAAGTTACTCCAGTTATAGGCAGAAAAGGGCAGCACATTTCAGGACATGAATGCTTGACTGTAGAAGAATTCACCATGTACCCAGTTGGTGGATTTATTACGGGATTGCACCCATGGTCACTGCTCACTTGCAGAACTCTGGCTGTGGGTGGCAACCCAGTAATCTATGGGTGTAGGTGCAAATGTTTAGATAACAGTTTTACTGGCACAGCATATGCATTTGACAGAACAATAGCAGTGGCTTTTCCCCTGGGGCCTTTGACTTCCCTAGTCACAGGTCTTTGTCCTAGCTTGCAGTACCACTGTAGATCTCCTCCTTTGGAAGAGACTTAAAGTTTAATCCATAAGTGGTTGGTTGCACCCAGACCAGTCATGCCACTATGGCACTAGTAGGCGCGTCCTGCCCGGCTTGTCATATAATGTGACAGTGGTGGTGAACCTATGGGATGCCTGTTGCAGCGGGCACACAGAGCCCTCTCTGTCAGAACATGAGCCAAGTCAGCCCAGCAGCCAAATACTGGATATTCAGATTTAATAGCGGTGTTGGCACTTTGAGGTGAAAAAGTGGGCTTTGGATTGCACTTTGGGCACTTGATCTTTGAAAGGTTCATCATCATTGCATCTGAGTACCATAGCTGAGCAGGACTTCTGGTGACAATTCTCAGGCAGCCTGCACATAGGATCCTTTGGCACTAGGAGTGTTAGCTAGTGGGGAGGATAGTCACAGCTTAGTCTCAGATTATGGTTTCTGGAAGTAATTCTTCTTCCACCCACGCAGGGTACCTTTATTTAAACCTTTAACTATTGCTGTAACACATTTTGTTTTTTAAATCAAACCAGCTCTTGTGGGATTGTAAGGCAGGTGAAAGTATCATTGTCCTTCATTGTCCTCAGCTCAATTTTGCACATCAGTGTTTGTGAAATGGATTTTCCCTGTCACTGTCAGTTCTCACTGGGAACCTGAACACAACACTGAGCTGAGTAAGGCTTCTAAGTAGTTGCCCCCAGTGGCCCATTTTCAGGTGAGTATTTCCAAGAGGACTGTGTCAGTATTCACAGAGGTGAGTGCTTATTTACAGCTGTCACTCAAAAGCATGGGCCCAATGTAATCTGTCTGCCAACCACATATTGGACTTGTGCATGTAAGCTGGTGACTTCTGTACCTGTTCCGCTGGTGCATTTATCCTTTGAGGCTGTAGCCGAGTGCAGACCCCACGTGCCTGTACAGCATAGCAAGGCTCAGAATAGCTTATGGGAATACCTGCAGACTTTACTATCCTCCAGCCCATGTTGGCCCTGCTGTGCCCAAACTTCTCATACATCCAATGGGGAACTTGTGCAGGTGTCTGGTGATGAGTACTGTAGCTCAAACCTTTATGAGGATACTTGTCTGAGTTACTTTTCTGTCATTACTGTGACAGAATACCCAGCAAAATGCCCAGAGTTAAAGGGGGAAAGGTTTATTCAGCTTACAGTTTGTAGAGGTTTCAGTCCATAATTGACTGGCTCCAAGGCAGGGTGGCAGACAGGAATTGCAAAGGAGAAACAATTCGTGGTGGGCAGAAGGTAGGAAAGAAAGCAAGAAGGATGACCACAGATCTTTCTATCCCTTATATCTTTATCCAGGATGTTTAAGATGGGTAGCACTCACACCCTTAATTCTAGTGCCCTTGATCCTAACATTGAACCACAGATCAATCCCAGCATCACACACTGTAGAGCCAGCTACTTCTCAAAAAGCCCCACCTACATGAGACTTTTGGGGAACATTTAGACACAAGCCATAACAGAATTATCCTGCTGATTTCCCGGGGTACTTAGCAAGCTGGTGGGCAGCTACATGGAAGATGGTTAGTGGTTCTAATTCATTTTATATTCTTTCATACATCTCCCTCCATGTCTGTTATCCATATAGAGGCCTACCAAGCACCTGCCAGTCCTATAGTGAGTCCTCTAAGGACTACCCAACTATCTATGCAGATAGTGGCCATGTTTCTTGAATAATCAGCATCGATACTCCTCTTAGCTCAGCCTGTTTTTCCTTTATCCACTCTCTAGCCAGATGGTATCTATATTTATCTGCATTGCTACTGTCATCCAATCCCACTTTGTGCCCAACTAGTGCCATTGGTGTACCAAACATCTTCAGGAATGGGAAGTATTCTTATTACTAGGTTTTGAGGTGCTGAAATCTCCTTCTAGAGGTGGTTTCTAGGTTCTTTCTGTCCTGAGCAAAGAATTGGTCAAGACGAGCACAAAAGGTAGTATGGTTTTGTTTTATTAAAGGTAGGAAAAGAAACATCTGCAGATCAAGTCTGAGCCAGTTAAAAGTAGGAAAATAATGTATACTCTACAGGGTGGGAGCAGACCACTGTGCAAGAGAGAACACAGTGATCCAGCTCTCAGTGGTGACTTTTGCACCTCTCACTCCTCAGGCTGGTGTCAGGTCTAGCTTGTCCTATCAAAAACCTGGTCGAGTTCTTGTGAGAAAAATTGAAGACAGCACTCTGATTGATTCCACAGGCAGGGCTTTGGGAACGTGGTTCACGTGTGTACTGGCACTTTGCAAATAACGACGTCCCCAGTTTGCCATGCCCTAGTCTCCTGTCTCACCATCCAGCACCTTACCTGGCTTAGCTGTTGGTTCAATCACTGCGGGTGATTCAGAAGTTTGGAAGGACATTGTCCCCAGTATGGCCTATGTGGTATTTGTCACAGGGCTAGCAAATAGGACTCCATACTACTGCAAAAATGTATGCCACTTTTGCAAAGTCTGATATTGGGTCACCCCTAGAAAGAGGCTTGGCTAAAAGTTGTACAGTTCAACCCTTTCTTGGATATTTTCTTTTTACTGTCACTATAGCAGATCCAGCGATGGGTTCCAACTGGTGCAGGGCTCTATAAACAGCCAGCAGCTGTTGTTGAAGTGCTGTATTCTGGGCTTTTACCCTTTTCCATGAGTGGGACCAGAACCGTATTAGAACTGTTTCGATTGTTTCTGTCTGCCTGCCAGTGATAGCCCTCAGAGTTCCTGGTAACTTCTAGAACAAATGGGCATTGCAGTACTGGGACATGCAGCTGTTTGCCCTGCTCCATGAGTAGCTTGCTCAAGTCTCTGGAACCCCTTTGTCCTAATTTTATGTGGTCCTTTTTATCAAGTTATGAAGAGGGCAGGCGACTTGAGCAAGGTAGGTTATGAAAATAAGCCAATGCCCCAAGAGTCCTAAGTACACTAAGAAATGGTTTGTATTTATTGGTGTAGACTGCTGCAGGTTTCTCAGTGACCTTCTCAGGTTCATACATGTCTTACCCAACCATAAAACTACCTAAACCTTTATGGTGTTGCCTGGCCCTTATACCTGGTGGAGTTTCCCTTCCATCTCCACTCCTTCAGGCATACTTGTATGTCCTCCAGATTTTTTCTAAGTCTGTAAGACACAGAGAGGTTAGCATGATGTCATCTTTGTGATGAGAAACGTTTTCATAGTGAGTGGGCAGAATAACAAGTCAAGGTCACAGACCGCTATCCCATGACAAATGACAGTGCTGTTTAAGTAGCCATGAAGAACCACTCAAAAGGTCCTAGCAGTTCATTCCAGGTGAGTGTAGACTGGTCCAGCAGCTAAGGGGATACTAAAGAGTGTTAGCAAGATCCAAAACAGCACAGCATTATGGCTAAGGGTACAAATTGTCTGTCTATAATCCACAGTCATTCACCATGAGACATCTGTCTTCGCTCTCTCCCACAGGCCGTAAATGAAGCCTTCAGGGCAGGGGTTTTTGTTTTCCTCATTCGTGTGTTTCCAACACTGAGTTCAGTGCTTGGCATGTGGTGTGATTCAGCAATATTAAATGAATGAGGAGTAATGGTATGATCAGCTTTGCTTCCATGTGGAAAAGAGACTGGAGTTGAAGGGCTCCTCAAGAAAGGATAGAGATCTTTCCATAATCTAGGATGGGGTTGGCAACATACTGATTCCTTCAGTTAAGGTAGTGTTGAAGAGATGTTGATTGGTAGTGTTGGAAGATATTTCTGTTTTGTTTTGTTTACAAGGAAACAGTTGTATTTTTGAGTTGTGTGGCAAGAGAGTGGCCACCTTGTTAACTTAGGGTCTGTGCTCTGACATGGACTCTAGGTCTAAGGCGGAAAAAGCTGCTGCTGTTGTAAACCTCCTGTGAGAGCTTATTTGGCTTCTCATTTGGTGAGAGAGAGGTTACCTGGAACTCAGTCCGCCTGTACTACTGCTTTCCCTAAGTCTGTAGATGAACTTGAGGAAACACTTTCTATTCAGTTCTGTGACTTGAAAGAATGATGTTTTTACTGTGATGTGTTTCAGTTTCTGAGCAATAAATAAAGGAATTGTCTTGAAACTAAAACTTTTTTTTTTTTTTTAAATTTAGGGGTATTAATGCAAGCAACCCAGAACCCAGAAATAAAAAAGTTTGGAAACTACTATATCGCTGCATCCTATGTGAAGTATCTAGAGTCTGCAGGTGCAAGAGTTGTACCAATAAGGTATGGTTCAGTGTTTTTTATACAGTCTAGAAACACTGCTATGTTTTCTCTCTAAAATTAGTACTTTCTATATCATTTAAATGTATTTCCTAAATGTAACGTTGCATATGATTTGTGCCACACAAACTTAATATTTGTAGTCTCTCATTGAATTGGTTAACATTTGGAGCTGTGCATACTTAGAATGTTATGAGAGTATGTTATACAGATCAGACAGAGAATGAAATGGTAGTTTCTCTTATTGCAGAAATACTTGTCCTCATAGAATAACAGGGTAACAGAATCTACAACCTAACTAGCTGTATTTCATATTAGAATAAGGGAACACATAAGGAGTGACAGAGAATTTTTAGGACATGAGTATTAAAATATCTTCATACTCTTGTTTAAAAATTTATAAAGGACCAATATAGTAGTATTGCTTCAGCACAATTTATAGATAGTGTAGTTTTAAAGAAGTGACATTATTTTTGTGATAAAATGGCCCAGTAAGAATAAAATGATTCATGTTTAAGTAGCTCAGTGGTTGAGTGTTTTCTTAGCACTTGAAAGGCCCTATGTTCAATCCCTTGCACTAGGGGACAAAAAGATTAAGTTTAATATGATTATTAGACCTGGTTCCCTGGCCTATGCCCAAACATCTATTGACCTAGTCAAGTTAGGAGACTTTATTGCTTCAATTTTTCAATCTGTATCTCCCACAAAAAATACTACCCCCTCCCTACGTAGCACAGGGACTTTACACTGAGCTATATTACAAGTCTTTCTGTGTGTGTGTGTGTGTGTGTGTGTGTGTGTGTGTGTCTCACTAAGTTGCCTAGACTGGGCTTAAACATGCAGTCTCTCTGCCTTGGCCTCCCAGATTACTGGGCTTATAGGCGTGCACCACCAAATTCTATTGATTATTCTTATTTTTAATTAAAAAAAAAAAGAAACTGTTAGAACTAATTGAGTTTGAAGTTTTTTGTTTTTTTTGTTTTTTGTTTTTTGTTTTTTTAGAATATCCTAAGTCCTTTGAAATCCTTAGCCAGCGCCTGGAGTGTATAGATCCAGACTTGGCAAAGATGATGTGCTGAGGTTCACCTTGTAAGCAGCTGATGGTGTGGTATGGGGATAAGGGTGCGACTGTCTGTTTTCCAGGATGGAGACAGCTACATGTTGAAATCTCTCTGGATACAGCTGTGTCTGTGAGGGAATCTCTAGCAACCTAGGATGAGCCCTGGGTGTTTTTTGCTACCTGTATCATTTTCCAGAGTGAAAAATAATAATGTAATTTATTTAAATACAAAAAAAGAATACAATGATTAATTTCATATTTTCTTTTGAAAGAAGTGGAATATATCTCATTTTCATTTGGAAAGAGCTAGCAGAATCTTATAAGTACTTATAGTGTATTATCAAAAATTAATGTATTTTAGAGTCTCCCAGATCCCCATGTAGTCCATTATATGTGGACTTGCATTTCACCTCCCTATCCCTTCCCAAGAGAAGAAGGCTACCTGCCAGCCTACTTCTCATTTAAGATAGTGATCACCACTATTCCACTGTCACCCATTGCTTTGTTGATGACTGTCTCTTGTCTTCCCAACAAGAGACCTGGACTTTCGAGGTTATTTGGATTTAAAGGAGATTTGCTGGCAGAGAACAACCAAATTCTAGGCATCATAGGTGTCTGCTTGATAATGAGAGAGGTGTTCTGATGCCACCTCAGCCTTTTCTCTGGAGCATAAGTAGGCTGTAGTTGACATGTGATGGTAATTCTGTCTTTTTTAGGACATTGAGAGGGGGTGTGCCATGCTACTGTCTTACAGAAATAGAAGACTGCTGAATGTATAAGGATTCTTCTAAGGATTTCACCACCATGATTTCTCTTCCTTCTTGCTTTTAACTAAACTTTTGGAAGAGCAGATATTTTACTGTGACTTAATTAAAGGTTGTCATCAATTATCATTGATTAATCCCATCAAGTTTTCTATGGAAACGAGGATAAAATCATCAATGTCATGGATATTGTTAGGCAGTTTTCAAGGGGTGTTTAATGAAGGGCTCAATAATTAGGCTAGTTTACAGTGCTCTGTCTGTAGTCTGTCCTTAGATCTGAACTGTTCTGACTTTTTGAGTACACAGTAGTCCCCAGACCATGGCAGCTGGTTGGTGGGGATGGGATGAAGTAGGAATTTGGCATTTATTTGTATCATTTTTATCTCCCAGAGCTGCCTGCAGTTAAGTGTGTTAACAAATTTCTTTTATAGTCTGTATATAAAGCTACTGAATTCTTAGATTTTAAAACTTGTTCTTAGCTAACAAATTAACTGGTACCTAATTCTCGTGGTCTGTAATGTTTTACATATTAATACACACATTATAGTGTTAAATTTCATTAAACCACAGAAAAACACACTTACCTGTCGGATTAGCAAAACAAGGGTACAATTACATGTTTTTCATGTAGTTTGAAAAAAATGCCTCTAGAAAAGTAGAGGGGTAATAATGTCTCATATTTAAGAATTACTTTTTTGTCTGGTTAAAAAATTAATGTGGTTACTCCTTTTGGAGGTTTCTTTTTATCTTAGGTTTCAGAAGTATTTATAAACTTTTTATTGTTTTTAGGCTTAATCTTACAAATGCGGAGTATGAAGAACTTTTCAAATCTATCAATGGGTAGGTTGGTTTAATTTAATGTATATGTGAATTGTTTTGACACAGTATGTGAATGTCTGCATATTTACTTGCTTTTGTAAAAAATATAAATATTATATATGTTTCTACATAACTGTCTAGTGGGGTATGACAGTTTTTCTGAGTTCTGTTATAGGAAGTATTTTGCGAGGAGAAGCGCAAGTTTTGTAAAGAATAGGAGAGAAGCTAGGAAATACGTAATTGTTACATAGTAGATACATAGAGTCTTTTTTATATGTATAACATAATCTTTGTTTCTTTAGTACTTGCTTTAAATATTTTGAAACCACTTTGGATGGCAGGGTATATTGCTTGCCTAGTGGTGTTTATGGATATTGATGGGTTACCTTTCGGAAGTAATTTGAATAGAACTCAGAAAAAAATATTTGTTTCTGTAGCTTTACCATAAAAGATATGATTGATTAGCTCACAGAAAAGAACTTTCAGATATTGTACATTACTCTTAACTTAAGGGAGAAAACTTCATTACTATAATAAAAAGTCATTTTAATTATCACAGACTGGCAGAGATTAGAAAATTTGCAAATATTCTATAGTGAGAATATGAGGAAACGAATATACTTCATTACTAAGAGTATAAATTATATAGTCTTTTTAGGGGCAGTTTTGCAGTATCTGTTAAAACTAGAAACACATATTTTTGATCCAGGATCTTAAATTAGAATTTTATTTTACAAATTGATTACTCTGTAAGCCAGGTGTGGTGATTCACACCTGTAATCTCAGAACTCTGGGAAACTAAGGATTGCAGGTTTGTGCCCAGCCGGTGTAACTTGATGAGACCCTGTTTCAAAATAAATAAAAAATGGCTGGGGTGTACCTCAGTAAGAAGACCCTGGGTTTAATTTCCAGTCTCTCTCTCTCTCTCTCTGTCTCTCTCTGTCTCTCTCTCACACACACACACACACACACACACACACACACACACACACACACACCATCCCTGTATGTTGAATTAGGCCCAATTATAAGCATTATAGTATTGTCTGAAAAGATATCCAGTTTAGAAAGTTACTGAGTGGTCTATCAGGTGATAATTGGTTAAATGAAACAGACTAGAGCTGGGTGTGGTGGCACATGCCTGTAATCTTAGCACTCAGGCAGCTGAGGCAGGAGGATTACCATGAGTTCAAGGCCATAGTGAGTTCAAGGCAGCCTAAAATACACAGCAAGATGCTGTCTCAGAAAAAGCAAATAAACAAACAAAAACAAAAAAATGAAACAGACTATATACATTTTTATGGAATACTGTGCAGGTGTTAAAGATGAAGTTATGTATAGATGCTGCTTCACATCATGATTGTCATGTGAACAATGTTGTTTTGTGAACAAAAGCAAGGTGGTGTAGTGCATAGGGTATGCTTACTTATATTTGCTTTTTATTTTAAGCTAAGGGTCAAGAGATAGACATAACATATTCTTTTTTTTTTTTTTCAAGACAATACCATCATTTTTATTGTTGATTTTTTTCTTTAAAATAAAAACAAATAAAAAAAGAATTAAGGATGTAAACTGTTTTGTTTTCCTGCTCAAATCAAGTCAGTTCTAGATCATCACTTAACCATATCCACGCTGGTAGTTGCTTATTTATGGAATCCTTTTCCAGTTTCTTTAAGAATGAAAAGGGGCAAGGCAAGAAATGTACAGAAATCACATAAGAAACATTTAAAAATACATTTAGTCAAATCTGTTCCATGTCAAAACTTCTATAGCATACAGTTAAGTCACAGTGAAGAACAAAATTGAAAAGCAGAATTCACTTTAGTTGGTATAATGAATGTAAAGGTGAGTACAATTTAGAAGGTACATAAAAGGGAACCACAGCACTTTCCAAGAGCTTATAAAAACTTCAAAAAAACTAATGACAATAAGCTTCCAGTGACTCTTTGGGTAGTTGTTCAGAATACTAATTCTACAACAGATTTCCATGTATATTTCAAAGAAAGCTAGAAAATGCACTGAACATAAATTCAAAATAGCATATTAAGGTATACACTGTTTGGGTTTATTAGCTCCACATAATTTTTTCAGACTTTTAACGGTCATCTAAAGAAGCATTTACCTTTTTTTAATCACTAATCTGGAAGAAGGAAGAAAAATGTGGAGCAAGCCATGCAGTTCACTAGGGACTAACTTCCACATGGTTCAAAATTATGAGTGGCAAGGTCATGGAAATCCAAGATACTACAGTGACTTAAGCTTTTATACGCACCAGTTTGTCTTAAACCACTGAAAACAGATATAACACTGGAGTAACTGACATAGTGGTCTTTCTCTGCTATACATGACACTGTAACATGTTATCACTTTTAGTCCTTACACTGGTTTACAAAAGAAAAACTGAACTTACATCGACTATGTAGATCTTTCAGTTCAATGTACAGCAGAATGTAGGAAAAATACACCTCTGCTGTTTAAGAAGCTACAGTCGGTAAAAGAAAAATATGCATCAAAATATGCACTTGTCTCTTACTAGAAAGGTATCAGCTGTTAAAGGGAGTTGATGAAAGAAAAAATGCCTAATTTAATTACAATGGAATGTGAAAAGAGCTGACATTTACATTTTGGCATTGCAACTATTATTCTTAGAATAAAACTTAGAATAGCAAATTTAGCTGAACTCAACCAGTTCCAGCCTGTGGAAATTTACTTTTTTTTTTTGGTCTTTTTGAGACAGGGTCTCTCTATGCAGTTCAGGCTGGCTCTGAGCTCACTTTGTAGCCCAGGCTGGTCTCAAATTCGCGATGATCCTCCTGCCTCAGCCTCCCAAGTGCTGGGATTACAGGTGTGCACCATCACACCCAGCTCCAACCTGTAGAAATTAAGTAAAGCTCACTCTGTGGGCCAAAAACCACAAGCAACTGTTGGGAGAAGGAGGGCAGTAAGAATAGAAGAAAACAGATTCACCGCATTGTTATCAAGAATAGGTTTTCCTGCTATGTGCTTTGCTGTATTTGTCGGGTTGTTGACCACCATGCCAGTGTTTTCATCCAAACCAGAAAATTGCATTGTCGCCCCTAAATATGAGTCCACAATTGATCCTAGTAATCCAGCCAGACCCCCAAATATAATAATTGGCCACTGAGGGGCAGATATGTCTAAATCATTCACAAAAACCAACTGTGTGAGGAAGTAGGTGATGCCCACAAAGGTTCCACCAAGCAGACTGGAAGCAAGTCCCACCACTGTAACCCCTCCATTGGTTCCAACTGGAACTCTCTCCCAGGTTGTAATCAGCCTTGGCTGGCTTTTACTTAGAACTGGGCCAACTTCTGAAGCCCAGGTGTCTCCAGCAGAGCAGGCCAGTGCAGCCAAGAGAGACAAACACATCCAGGAAGCAGTGTGCTGCTTGGAAAAGTCGATCGCCGTCTCCCCGGGGCCATTTTCTATCATGTACAGCAGGGCGAGCTCTGTGGGCACGGCTCCATTGCAGAACACCTGAACCCAATTTCTTTGCCCTCCTTCTTTATATTCTGAATCTATACGCTTCTTTGCTTGTCCCTTCCATTTAGTGAGTTTTGAAGAAGAAAGAAAAACCATCAACAAAGAGGTAAAAAAGCTGAAATTTGCAATGGTCAGGATGAATCCAACCACTAGCCCTCCTAACGCCCCACTGTGATCTAGGCTTTTCTTTTTAAAGCCATTACAGGCGATCAAAACGGGAACAACAACAGAAAACAGCCAACGCCAAGGAGAAACAGGCCGAATGTTACCGTAATAAGTGCTAGCAGTCATTGACATAATCCAGAAAGCTAAGGAAATGCAAATGGTCAAGCTCAATATTACTATATTAGTAATCATCTTTATATATATTTTGTATATATTGTCGTCAAAATATGTCATGGAAAACAAGGATATGAGCACCTGAGGGAGAGAACAGATATGATTTCTCAAAGAAAGTCATTTAGGTGGCCGGCAAAGCACTGGTTTAGAGGCAAACATAAATGCCAACACCTTCCACTGACCGAACATAAGAAAAATCAACATAAGCCCAAACTCATTCCGGAGATGGCTGCTGGAGGAGCGGTCCCGACATAGCATATTCTTACGGCAAAATTAGGGCTGCATTCCACAAGAGACCAGAGAACTTTATGAGAGCAGACAAAGTTTTAATTTAGACTGGTCACTTCTTGTCCCGATTTGCAAGTCAGGGAAGTGGGCATGGACCTGCCTTTGTTCCCAGCTTATATACCTTTTTGGTTTCCATGGTAACAGATTGTAGTGTTGTAGCCCTGGCCACATCTTGTTTTCCTTGTGCCCCCTAACTGGGTCCGGCTCCTTTCATGAGCCCAACCACAGTGATACATACTTTCTGTATTCTGTTTTATATGTCCCCCTTTAGATAACCATACATTTCCTTCACGTTTACAATGTTTATCTAGGGCCAAGGAAAGGATGAAACAACCCAGGCAAGGTCATAGGTAGTTATATAGGCCCTGGTGTTCTCTGTCCTTGGAGAAGCATTCCAGGGCTAAGTCAGGACTGCAAAGTTAACTCTTTACAACCCCTCCAGGATGTTTCTCAAGACACATTTTGAGGCTTGCATTAAGACTAGAATTATTTTATCTTAAAATGATAGGCTAAGAGTCATCGTCCCCTACAGTGTTCCTACGAAATCAACATGAAAAATTTGAGCAATAGTTGCTTCTCATTGGAAATGCAGTGGGCAGGAGTCTTTTTTTTTTTTGCTATTACTTGAAAAAAAGTGTTCACAAGTTGCCTTTCTTTTTAAAATATGTTAAAAAATTACTTGTCTTCAGTTTAGTTCAGTAAATATTTACTTTAAAGGCAGTTCAATTCAGTAAAACATTTATAATACGTGCTACCTGCAAAGTATTTTAACAAGGACAAAAATAAACACAGGCCAGAATATAATGGAATACCCTCCCAAATGTGCTTTTGGCATAGTTCATTTCCTCCTTCCCTCCCCTCAGATACAGTTCTACTTGAAAAAGCATCTGCAATGGTGATTTTATAGATAGGAGTAAATGTTTTTGGTAGCCAGCTTATGCAGATGCACCTGAGACTTTATGAAAAGTGACAGTGCTTCTTACTTGACAAGAGAGTCCCTTTTAGATTTCCCACCGATTTCCTGCATCAACAGTTCTTGTTCCCGTAGACTGTACTTTCTGTACAGCACAGGCGTCAAGAGCAAGGCTGTGAAATGGGAAAACCTGGAGCCACTGTGCGCTGTTTCTGAATGTCAGTAGAAAAAAGGGCAGTCGTCTAATGCAACTTCAGAAACACCTTCAGTGAGCTCCTGTCACCATACTGTACTATTTCTGGGGAATATAGAGACGAAAAGACAGAGCTCTGGTTTAAAGGAATTTGTCCTCTGCAAGAGACATTCAGGTTTCACGGTATGAGAGAATTTTAGGGTTACATAAACCAAATTTGATCAGAGGCAACATTTTGCTGATCTTTAAAAACTTTTATTAGAACATGTTTGCAGTACGTGATGATTCCACTCATCGTGGGAAGTTGGTCCCTGCACGTAGCACATCTTAATTCTCTTTTCCATCCTCTTCCCCTCTCTTGATCCCGTTCACTTTTGCAAATAGCTCTTTCTCCCTGTTTCCTATTATCTTTCTTTTATTTTGCTTTTTATTTATATTTTGGGCTTCAAGCTTTGTGTCTCATTTACTTCATTTACCATGATGGTGTCAAGGTGCATCCATTTTTCCTATAAACAATTCACATTTATCTATATGGCAAAATAGTACTTCGCTGTGCATAAATACCACATTTTCTTTATCCCCTCGTCTGTTGGTGAACGTATAGGCAACTTCTAAGATTTAACTCTAATGAGTTGTGCTGTTATAAACATTAGTATGTATGTTTCATTTCATACGTCTTTCACTCTTTTGGGACAGAAGCAACATTTTAAATACTGACTGAATTTAATGAGAGAGTTGCTCATGAATCTTGACTAAGTCACTTCTAATTGTAGGCTTTCCGCATGGGTTTGTGGCAGATATCTGCCTCATAGATGTTACATGTTTTATACTAGACGGATCCTAATAGCAAAACCTGCTCATCTTTATCTCAGGCTAGTTCCATGGCTTACTCACAGGAGAAGCGGAATGTATTTCTTGAATAAACAACAATTTCAGGAAATTATTGCACATATCTCAAGTACCTATTTATATATTTTAAAAAATGTAATATGTTTAATCCAACTTTCTTTGGCCAAGAAGATCCAACCTTGCTTGGATATCCTTGGTTATGTCATGACCTGTTAGAAATAATTTCAAGTTAATTTAAAAAGCTGGTACAAAAACATGGTAAACATTTTTATGTATTTCATCTTTATGGGTAGAGTAAAATAAATGTTTGTAACTTGCTTGTTTTACACTTTTCCTATAAGAGTAATTTTGTTCTTTTTGAAGATTTTCTAGTAGTGTACTTATTTCTGAAGTGATCTCAGGATGATAATTAAGAAGTAAATATTTGTAGATATTTAAGTCTAGTCTGAATACATTTTAATATTTAGTTTATTCTTTACCATTCAGAATTATTTCTGAGTTAAAAGTTACATTTATGCACCTGCAGGTGATTTGATATAACCAATCATCTTAATTTTTTTTTTTTTTAATCTTTTTGAGACAGGGTCTCACTATGTAGTTCAGGCTGGCCTTGAGCTCACTTTGTAGCCCAGGCTGACCTCGAACCCCCAGTGATTCTCCTGCCTCAGCCTCCTGAATGCTGGGATTATAGGCATGCACCACCACTCTCGGCTCAATCATTTTAATTTAAATCTAGCTAAAAGTGGCTGGGTAATGATGGTACATACCTGTAATCTCAGCCACTTGGGAAGCTGAGGCAGAAGGATTACACATCCAAGACCAGTCTGGACAATTTAGTGTGACTATATCTCAAAGTAAAATAAAATTAAATTGTAAAATATGATTGGGAATATTGCTTAGTGGTTGAGCACTTGCCTAGTATGTGCAAGGCCCTGGCTTCAGTCTTTAGTACTAAAGAAAACAACAAAGCACAGTAAAATAAAACTAGCTATGCCTGAAACTTTGTTACCATTTGATTTCTAACTTTCTAGCTTTGGACACTCTCCCGCCTCTTTACCATTTATTTACATCTAATTTGTTCACATTGATAATCTTGTTAACAAAGAAGTTTTAAAAGAACGTGTACTAAAGTGTTACTAACTATAGTAATTTCTGAATGGCTAAGATTGTAAATTTTATTATTTATTTATTTCTCTAATTTTCTTTAATGGCTCAATGTATTAAGGAAAAATTCCGTAAAGAGATGGTTTAGTTTTTGTTTGTATATATGGATAAAATTCATCTTACTTGTTATTTTAGAATACTTTTACCTGGAGGAGGCTCTGATCTGGAGACATCAGATTATTCCAAAGTCTCCAAAATATTTTACAAGTTGTCCAAACAGGTATGTTTATGAGTAATTGCTTATCATTCCAGGTGGCTTTTGTTAGTTTCTGTGAATATCATTCTTCTTTTGAAGCATACTGGCAATGTTTCCTTTATAATAATTCTCACTTCATTCTCTTAACCTTTAAAGCATCTCTTTTCCAGCATTGGCTGCTCCTGCCCAATTTTTGTGTGTTTCACTAATTCTAGGCATCTTGGTATGAGCACATCAGTATGTGTCTTAAATACCCAACAGTCCAGTTATTTAAATACAGGATGACTAAAAAATTGCATATTTTTTGCTAATTTTTGTAAGGTAATATAACCAGAAATATAAAAACAACTTTATCAAATTTGTTCCATAATTTTTCTGTGTACGGTACATCTTAAAATGTTCAATACAATATAAAACAAACCTATATATAAGTCTATCCCATGTGACCAAAACTGAACTGGTCGGAATGGCACCTTCCCAAACAGTGATGCGTAGGAAAGTCAGTATGTAAACAAACGGTACTGCCCACGTGATGCTCAGGGTAAGCTGTTAAGTGGTTAATAATCTCAGTCTCTCCTCTTGGCCTCTTATCTTTTTATGTACTCACCATTTTTCCTGTTACTGAGTTTGTATTTTATTTTATTTTTAATTTTGCTTGTTGTTTGTTTGAGACATGGTCTGACTTTGTACCTCAAGCTGGCCCTGAACTCTCTGTGTAGCCCAAGCTGGCCTCAAACTCACAGTGATCCTCTTGCCTCAGTCTCCCAAATCCTGGGATTACAGGTGTGCACCACCACGCCAGCTCAATGTTATGATTTTTATCTCTTCTTCCCCGTTCATTCAATTCCATTTGCTCTTTCTTCAGTTACCTGAGGTCACGATTTTTCCTTTGCTGTATTTCACATTAGGCCTATCTTTGTACCATAGTTTAGATCATTATGTTTCCCTCCTTAACTATTAAGAGACATTTTTAAATTAATCTTTCTGCTTCCAGTGTCACACCAGCCCTCTCTTTAGTAGTTCCTTAAATAACTGCTTTTACTGTTTGAGGTACTTGCTTAAAACCTTTAGTAGCTATGCCGAACAACCCAGGGCCTTTTGTAGTCCTTGGGTCAAGAATATAGTGTTGCCACAGCTCACCTTCTCTGGCCTGTGTGGGAGCTTAATCTGAAGCTAGATTAATTAATTGAAAGTCTACTTATGGATCATGGAAAACTGTAGAAATCCATCTGTGACTCAGGTGCTAGTGGTAATGGCTAACCATATGTATAATTATCGTGAAAAATTTGAATCAATATAATTTTCTCTTTCTCTCACTCTGTAAAGAGTTTTGATGATGGAGACCATTTTCCTGTGTGGGGCACATGCCTTGGATTTGAAGAGCTTTCCTATCTCATCAGTGAGGAAATGCTATTAACTCTGACAGATACTGAGCAAATCACATTGCCATTGAACTTCACTAAAGGTGAGAAAATGCCTCTGAAACATTTAAATATGCTTACTGAACAGGATTAGTAAGCAGCAGATATCAAAGTAAAGAAAAATGCTCACAATATTTTAAACTTATTTATGCAGGCCGAAGAGATGAGTGATCATCCTTATATTCATTTGTGAGGATGACCTAAAGAATTTTGAATTTTTTCTTAAAAGTTCTCTGTATGTGGCACAGGTCAGCCTCAACTCATGATCCTCTTTTCTCAGCCTCCCGAGTGCTGGGGTTACAGGTGTACATCACCTGTCTGTCTAGGAATTTGGAATTTTGTTAACTCACTGCTTTTACTGATATCAGTATCATGTGAGATTAAGAACTTTGAAATTGGTCCTGGTTTAAAGTTCCAGTTTTCTCACTTTACCCTTGGGGAATTATTTGTCTTCTCTTAGCTTCAATTTCCTCATTGCAAAAGAGTCTACCTGTGTTAAGGTTTTTCTGTGTGTCAAATATAATAATGTTTTCCAGCACATAGGCTAAGTACTTTAAATCCGGCTCTTATAAATGTTAGTGTTTATTATTATAGTGTTGATATTTTCCCCTTCGCTGTGTACTGTGTTTCATCGCCAACAGGGTGTACTATGATTTGCTTCTGGTGCTTAACTCTTGGAGTTAGCCTAGATCCTGCAAGTTCAAGGCATAGTCCCCAACAAGACTGTCTTATTTCAGATGCTAGCCACAAGTCACATTCCTCAGCCATCCATTCTTTCTACCAGCTACCACAAATTTGTAATTCCAAGGACCCATCATGTTTCATGATTCCCTAGAATGACATACAGAAATCAAGAAAGTGCTACATTTGCTCACTAACCAGGAAAGCCACTGAACTTCAGTTTCTAGAGTTTTTATTGGAGCATCATGGAAAAAGCATGATTGATTGAATCATTAGTTACATGGCTAAACTCAGTCCCTGGCCCTTCTTCCTATCCTTGGAGGTAGAGTGGACTCAAAGTGTTAATCTTGTAATGATGTGATTAGTCTTTCTGATCATCGGTCCAGTCTGAAATAATCTGGAGCCCACTTCCATCACCTCATCAGTATAAAAAGGCACTTTTATGACTCAGAATATTTGAAGAACGAAGATCAGATCTGTTCTTTATTATACTACACAGTGTTCCAGTTTTAGTATGTGCTGCCGAAACAAGCACTACACAGTGTAAGTAGATACTGATTCTTAGAGATACTGGGTTTGTACATCCAGATCCTTAGAATTGAATGCTACTGACTGTCTCTGTTCTGAGAAGAATTTTGGAAGGAGAACAATACTAATCATACATAGAACCTATATCCTGCTTTATACTTCTGAAAGTTGTTTCTTCCATTATCTCACTTAATCATTACAACAACCTTATGAGAAGTATATATTTTAGGGCAGACTATTTTGGTAGCCTGTGGCAAAACCCAGTTTTTACCATAAAAAGCAGAATTTCAAGGTACTGGAGTTCTCGTGGAAGCCATTAGCAAGAATGAGGGCCCTGAACTGGAATATCAGGCATCTGAGCCTTGAGCACATTGGAATATTTTGTTTTACCCTCTTGGTGTTTGAGTCTGTGTGTGACTACAGAGCCTTTAGTGTTGACCATTAAGATATATTGTTTCTTTGATCTATTTACTGCACAGAAATTCTTTGGCTTGGTTAATGTTTTTTTTTACATTGTTGGTATTTTTTAACCTTATATATGTGAGATACCTTTGAAAATGAGTTAGAAATTTTGGATTTTTTCTTGGAAAAACAAGTATATACACGTTTGTGTAATTTTACCGGTTTTTCAGCAGTGTCTGGGAATCTGGAATTAAGATTCTCTGCTTATTCTGTTGCCAGCCTACAGATTCTCACGTGAGAACAATTTTATTTATTCATATTAAAATTCTAGAAGAAAAGTTCTTCAGTCTGGACGATATTTGAATTTGTTAAACACATTTTATACTTTGCTTGAATACTTCCACAGAAATGATGTGTTTAGCTTACCATGTAGTCATCTTGATTATGTGTTAATCATGACATATTTTGGATACATTTATTGTGACTTAAGGTTTTATTTTTTTCCTTGTGTTGAAATTACTTTTTGTGTGTATAATTATTTCAGGTGCATCAAAGAGCAGAATGTTTCAAAATTTACCTCCTGAGTTATTGCAGTCATTGGCATCTGAACCTCTGACTGCAAATTTCCACAAGTGGAGCCTCTCTGTGAAGGTATCACGTTAGTTCAACAATGAAATTGATGTGTTTAGAATAACTACAGAATTAATCATTTTACTTTCCTTTTATACTCTAGAATTTTACAATGAATGAAAAGTTAAAAACGTTTTTCAATGTGTTATCTACAAATACAGATGGCACGACTGAGTTCATTTCATCGATGGAAGGTATGAGTCACTGTCACATGTCTATCTTATTTATTGACTTGGACTTTATATTTCTCTTTACTTAGGAATAAAATCATATTATTTTGGAGCCTGAAGGTGGAAGTGGAGACAGGTGGGATACTTGTCCACGTTCCAAAGCAGTTTTCCTGATACTTTCTGTTAAGGGGTGATAAATGAGAAAAGAAAAGAATGGCAGCTTGGAAGCGAGAGGATTATGAAATGAAGCAAATGACTTCTGTGTTTGCACAAGGGCAGATTAAAGGCCTTGAGAAATTCTCCTCCAGACATCAACAAAATACATAACTGACAAAGAAAAACATCTTTCTAAATTCACTCATAAAGTGTCAAAAAGTCAGGCTATTCAGGCCCCAAACCCTTGGCATTATTGTTGAGTCTGCTGACTTTGAGACAAAGGTCCTGGACCCACTACAGGGAGAATACCCCATGCAGCAGGACCTAAAAGGCTGTGTACCTCAGACTACACCTGGAACCCTGACCACAGAGCTGCAAGGGGTTGGCCATCCTGAACATGCACAGAAGGAGTCAGGTAGCTGGGGTAAATAAAATAAGCCTTGAACTCTCATCATGATAGGCTGGTCTCACAGGCTTGCATTGTTCTAACTGGAAAGTTGAACAAAGCTCAAGTCAAACATTTTGTTTAAAGTTGTCTTAGACTGGTTTAAAGTTGTCTTAGATACATGTATTGCAGAACCAAATATAAGTAATTCTGTTGGGAAGACCAGATATTCATTTCCGGTTTCAGGAAATTTATTGGCCCCAACTCTAATACACAAAGAAGCATAGGACAACTTATAATAACTTGCAGAAATAGCAGATACAGAGTCAGCCCTGCACAAACTTTCAACCCTAGAGTTATGAGACACAGTATAGTTTATAACTGTATTTTAAGTTTTAAAGAAATAAATTCAAAAATACAACATGAAATTTGTATTTTGATTTGAAAAGAACTAATTTTAGTTATTAGGAATGAAAACAATATAAATAAAAATCTCAGAAGACGGGTTAACCAGAAGGTCAGGTAAAGAGAGATTAGTGAACTACGATAGAAGGTAGATCTGAAGGAAAGAAACCCTCAGACTCCGTCACAGGCGAACAGAAATGTAAAATGTGTTGACAGAAAAGACGGTGATCTGGGGGCTAGAGCTGAGAAATTCGAACACATCCAGCCAGAAGTCTAGAAGGCAATGGGGCAGTGTGGCAAAGACACTCTTTTTCTTTATTGAGAAAATTAAAGTAGATAAAAAAAACCTAGGTGGAAAAGGAAAGTATAACAGGTTTTAGAGAAAATAAAGAATAATACACTGACTTGTCTTTTATAAGGGAAGGAGTTTTCAAGACAAAAAGACAAACCATACAGGAAAAGACTGATGTATTTAATCAAGTCAAAAAGTTGTGCTCATAAAAATTGCATGAAAGAGAAAAGATATTTATAAACCCTATAACTGACAAAAGGTGTGTGTCTTATATAAAGTAAAATCATAAGAAAAACTAGACAATTAAAAATGGATAAGAGATATGAATAGGTCCCTTAGAAAAGGAACTTGATTGTCCTCTGCACACATGGCTCAAGGAGTTAAGTTTCTCAGTATATTTACTAACTGGGATAATGCAAATAAAATCCAAAGTGAAAAAGCGTCTTATATCAGCAAGATTGGCAAAAGTTAGAAGGCTGCTGGTTACAAGTATGACCCAGGGTGTGGCGCAGTGAGTGAGTACATGCACTTGTGATTGCGGTGCAAATGGCTACAACTGCCTTGGAAAACATTTTGTCATTTCTTAATAACATTTTCCACTCCTCGTACTCAGCTGTTGTATTGTTTGATTTAAAAATAATACTCTAGTGAAACCTTTTCATGTGCGTAGAAATGAATGTGACATTATTGTTCATAGTCGTTCAAAAAAGAAAAACAAAATGTCCAACAGTAAGAAGAATAAATAAATTAATGCATCAGCATAATATATGGCTATTAAAATCAATAGCACACTTACATGTATCATTGAGTGAATGTTGAAAATAAATTTCAGTTAAAGAAAAAAACCGAAGGATATGTATAGTATATGTTTTCAGTTATATGATGGTCAAAGCTTGGCAAAAGGGAAACAACTTAATGTTTGGTGGTAAACCTAAGTAAAGCAGGTAGTGATGAGTTTACTACATTTTCACTGAGCAAAGGGGAGGGAGTATAGTTAGGCAGGGACACCTGAGGGGCGTTGTTCTCTTAGTCTGGGTGGTAGATAATCAGGGGCTTACTTCATTTCTTAAAATATATGTATATATTTTTTAGCTTTTTTAAATAAATGAGTTTTTGAAATTTTAGAAACTGAAAAACTTACTGGAGAAAAGAATGTCGGAGGAATAAAAAGGAGTGAGAGGAAACCAGAGAAAATGAACAAATAGTTGGGTCATTCTGTGAGGTGGCAACCATGCCGCCAGGTCCAGTGATCTCTTGCTGGTCCCTGGGTTGTACTAAGAAGAATGAAAGGAGAAAAGTGTAATGTATTATGATAACCTATAAAAGTGCTGTGGTACCTGTTTTATCTTCCAGTGAAGTAATGAAGCATGAGCTCCTAACACTTTGCAGGCTGGAGTATCAGCGTTAACAGCGACAAATGTTAGTAAATTGCAGCATAGTTAAGCATACTATACCTTAATAATTTCTGGTGGGCTAGAACAATCTGAATGTTAGGGGTTGATTGTGGCTATGGTTCACATTAAACTTGTGGATATATGTGGATATTTTCTTTTTTTCTATTAAATAATACCTATCTTTAATATGTTTATCTCAGTAGATGCATACCAGTCGTTAAGATACCTTGGATATCTCCTGCGAGATATATGTGTGCTGGAGTATTTCTCACCTATATGTATAAGCAACAAACTCCTGGAAAAGTGGGAAGTTTCCCATTACTGGGCAGCCTAGGTGATCCCACAGAGTTAACAAAGTAACAGTAAAAGTCTTCAGATGCAGTGCTAGGTAATGGTGTAGCCGGAAGCGCTAAGAGAAGTCGTTTTACAGAATTTGTCCTCTTTCTCTCCAGAAAAAAAAATGTGTGACTGTAAATTTAAGTTCAGTCTCCTGGGCACATAGTTTGGTAGAGAAGACAGGGTGGTGCTGGGAGAGGCTGGAAGGACGGACAGAGCCCGAGGCGATTCCGTCTGTTTTAAGTCAGGTGGACCCTTCACCTTGTTTATGGGTTGCTGAGGCTGATTCCAACTACCTGGGAGGGCGAGGTACTGGAGAAAAATGAGCTACAGTAAAGTGGAAGTGGTTCATGTTATTCAAAGATTGGCCATAATGCTGTGTTTAATCTGTTCTGTGGAAGTGAAGACATAATTTGTAAAGAATAGAGATTTATTTACATCACACTTCTGGAGGCCGGAAGTTCGAAAGCCTGGCACTGCTGTCCACATCAGCATCTGGCGAGGCCTGCCTTCTGCGTCTCAGCACCGCTTAGTGCATTGTGCAGGGGTACGGCCAGCGTGCTAGCTCGTTACTTTCCTTCTTATACACCAGTAAGGCTATAACGGCCCCACTTCATCCTCATCTGATCCTCATTTCTCCTCGAAGTCCCCACCTTCACAAACCATGAACTTTGGAGACTGTTTCCCACACACGAATTCTGATGCACACATCCAAACCGCAGCACGCTGGTAAGTCTAGTTGGGGGCTGTCAATGTTTAGGAGTAATACCCATCCAGGATATTTTGAGAAAGCTTGATCAACCTAACATGGAGTTTGTCATCTCTGCAATTCTGTTTTCCCTCCTGTGTTTTTAACATCGATTGGTGACATCACAGTTCACCAAATCCAGAATTAGAAAACTGGAACCATCCTTGGCTTCCTGCCCTCATTCTCCCTGTGTAAAAAATTCATGGCAGTTTCTACTTCCCAAAATTTTTCTTGAGTGTGTTCTCCTGCCTATCCAGTCCATCTCCTGCTACTTGAGGATTAACTACCTTCTACCTGGGTTACCTCCTAACCATCCCACACCTCTGTCTTCCAGCCAGGCATAGTGGTCCCTATGAGGTACCAATGTGGTCATCTTGCTTTAACAAAACTCCACAGTGGCTCTTCACTGGAGGCCAGAGTCTGTATTCACCAGATCGTTTACTTCCCACATTCTCTGTCTTCCCCTTCGCCTGTGTTCCAATGAGACTGGTCCAACACATGCTGCTCTCCACAGAGCCATGCTACCTCTGTGCTGCTTCTCATATTTTTTCCTCTTTTCTGAAAAATTTCCATTCCTCCCCACTCCCTGCTGATAGACTCTCAGCTATCTTGGAAGGCTCAGGTCAGCTGTTCTCTTTGAAAGGCCTTCTCTCCCGTTATTTCCCCTCTCCATGTCTTCCGTGCTCTTTGTACTTGCTTTGTGCTTCTTAGGAATGTTTCTTATTGCACCTACGTGTTCAAGTTCTTTCCTTCTCCCTAGCGTGAGAGCTCACTGGGGGTGCGACTGTGCCACTCCACTCTGTTTCCAGGGGTCGGGTAAGCCTCAAGAGATGTTGAACAAATGACTAATTGTTTTTTTAAAAGAGGGGGGTTTAGTTAGAAGTTAGGGGTTCAGGTTTTTGTTGGTTCTTATGACTGTTGTCATTCTAGGCTCCTTGGAAAAATTTTAGCCTTAAAACTTCTTTGTCACCTCTAAGATAGGAACCCTTGGAATGCTCTGTTGTACATTTTTTTTCTGCTCTTGAAGCTTTTGTTACAAATTAGTGAATCAAGGCATCATTCCTACGGTGGTCAGGAAACTTTCTTGGTCTTTTACTTGTGTGATTTAAAGCAGAGTAAATCACGTATCTATAGCTATGTATCTATATAATATCTATATGTCTCAGAAGAATTCCTCATTGTAATCAACCTATCACTTGAGGAATTTTTAATCCTCAGTAATGCTTTCACATGTCAGAGATGTGTATCAGAAAATCCATCTTTCAATTAGCTGTGGGTTACAGTTGCTTCCCTGCTCACTCAGCCTGAGAATCTCCTGCTGGTACCTTCTTGTGGAGTTCTGGCCAGAGAGAAGAAAAGTGCGTAGTCATAGGAGAAAGGCTGTAGAGATGAGGCACAGCGCCCAGAGCCTCTCGCTGAACTCCAGCCAGATTGGGATAAAATGTGTCCCTCTTTGTGCCCTGCTCTTCAGTGCAGGGACACGTGGGGTGTGAGAGTACAACAGTTTAGCCAGCTCTCCTTCCAGGTGATGCTTTTCCTTTCTCCAGGCACTTTCTTAAGGTTGTCACAGTTACAGTTCCAAAGCAAAAAAAATGATAGAGGGGCTTTTTCTGTGAAAATGAGGAAATGCACGTGTAAATTTCCAGAAGTTGACGGTTATACCTATTCATTCACCTTTTTAGAAAATTGTGGAATTTTTCAAACAGGTAGAGTGGAGAGAGTAATATATGGGCCCCCACATACCAGCCTCTCAGCTTCAACAACTGTCAGCACATATGTGGCCATTCTTGTTTCATATCTACTTTATCCCCATGCTGAGTTATTTTTTGAAACAAATTCTAATGATCATTATCAGTTGATGTATGCAGATATCTAAGAGCTCTGAAAATGGCTTTACCTGTAGTAACACAGTTTTATAAACTTTTAGAAACTCAGAATCAACACTGCAGTTATGAGGCAGTTCATAGATTGAGAAAAACATTTAGGCTGATACAAATTAGCTAATATAAAAGGACACTAGAAATACTGGCATGGTTTATTCTCATGAGTGAGTCATTTTGGGGATAAAATATGGTATGAAGGGGGTACCTCAAGAAAAGAGCCCCATCATAAAAACTTGTATCACTAAGTAAATAGGCACTTGAGGCTGGGGATATAGAGTTCAATGGCAGAGCATGTGTTTGGCATGTATAACACCCTAGGACCAATCCATAAAAAGCACCACAAAAACATGCACTTGACTGTTGAACTTGAATGTATGCCAAGGCTGAACTGTTTTACTTTACTATGATTACTTGGAAAAGTGAATTATATTACAAATTGTAAAAGGTTACAAATCAGCCAGATGTTTACATTGACTATGAACATAAATTCTTTGTCTTAGAGAATGGGTACAGTTTTATTTGTCTAATATGGTGAGTTATAAAGTAATGTTTTACGTAGGACATGATACTGTTTTATTATAAGTAACATCTTAAACCATTCTTAATAGTTACTGATTTGTGTTCTTCATACAGGATATAAGTATCCAGTATATGCTGTCCAGTGGCATCCAGAGAAAGCACCTTATGAATGGGCGAATGTGACAGGCATTTCCCATGCACCTAACGCTGTGAAGACCGCATTTTACTTAGCAGAGTTCTTTGTTTCTGAAGGTAGTGTGTGACCACATAATTTTATCACTTAGTGTACTTTGGAAGGAAATTACTCTTATTTGGGGTTTTAAGTACTCCTTTGCTCTATTACTGCTCGATATGGTCTATAGATTTAATTTTAAAAATAACAAATATTACATAATATGAATGCTCTGAAATTGAGGAAATAGTATTCCAATAAAACAAGAATAATTTTTGAAACCATATCATAATGCTGTAATGGGCTGAATTCTTGAACAATTTAAAGAAAGTTGAGTTCTTTCTCTTTTCTTTAACATTTTTTATTTAGAGTCTCCTTAGTTACTTTTTTTCTTAAAGGAATAATGATAGAATTATAACAACCTCTGAGAATTAGATGGTATTTTTTCCAAGGCAGTGTTACAAAATGAATGTGTACTTATCATTTAAGACTGCTTGTCTGTACGCATGGTCACACTAGAGGAAGTTAATAAGCTTTGCCTGACTTTTGGTGATGAAAACAGAAATTTTCATGCTATTTTATGTTTATGGGTTCAGTGTGGAGTTTGATTGTAGACTCTTACTTGTAGTAGAGTGATATGGGTATAATAAGATACAGGTAGGGACACAGCTTGCCAGGAATAGAATCAGTTGGAAGCCACGCCAGTTGAAGATGTGTTCTTATTTCCATTTTGCCCCCAACTTCTATTTCTCTTGCTACCCTTACTCAGAAGCTAAGTACTTCCCTACTGGATTCATTCTGCTGTAGAATTACGCTTCCTTGAATGGGTGGTTTCATGACAAAACCTCCAATTTAACAAAACCCCAGGACTCCCTATGCAGCGTTCATCCAAAGGAGCATTTTCCTGTGTGTGTGACAATCAGTGAGAACAGTGGTGGGTAGAATAGCATTTGCTGCAGTTTTGGGAGGCTGTATTTGCTTTACTTTGATTTTAGGTTGAAGTCCTAGTTCTCAGCCTCACATCCAAACTTTAGCCAGGCTAGACATCGTAGCCTGGCTATGATTTCTTGTTTTTTTTTTTTATATATATAATTCTTTCTTGTCTGAAATGCCTCACTTTTCCATCTGCCTTCATCAGTTTCTCCATCTTTTTTGCTCTTGAAGCATCTCAGTGAAGGTATACTAAAAAATATAACACCATTTGATTCTGTGTGGAATCTGGCCTAGACCTCTTGAAAATTAGGCTCTTGTCTTACCTGTATTTCTGCCTCTAGGCTCTTTATCAAATCTCTTACAAATGTAGCCACTTAGTAAGTGAATGAATTGGGCAGTGAGGGCCCACAGGGTCGGGTGCAGGTCAAGGTGCTAGATCAAAAGGTAACTCTGTCTAAATCGGGTACTACTGTAGTTTGGGGAAATTCTTTTGTTTTGTTTTATTTTGTTTGGTACAGGAAATCGATCTCAGGACCTTGAGCTTGCCAGGCAGGCGCTGTGTCACTGAGCTATCTCCCAGGCACCATGGGAAATTGTGTAAAATATTTCTCTTAGTGTTTATCCCACTTAATAATGCTGATTACAGGAAGAAATATTATAAAGTAAGTCTCTTGAAAACCTGGTCATACAATCTTTTTAAAAACACTTCCTTCTTTTTTTTTTTCCAGCTCGGAGAAACAATCATTACTTTGACTCTTGGTCTCAAGAGGAGAAATCCCTGATTTATCACTTCCCTGTAATTTACACTGGAAATGTTTCTTTATTTCAGCAATGTTATGTGTTTCCCTGAAAGTTTTCAATATGTTAATGAGCAGTTTGGGATAATTCCTTGATTAAACTGTCAAAATTACTTGCTACCCATGATACTATTAGGAAACCGCAGATTTCTGTTCTATGTGGGCGACGCTGGTTCTTCATTCAGTAGATGATTATTTGTACTGCATTTGATAATTTAACAATGAAGCAAATTTGTAGTGTTTTTCATGGAAAATTCATCTTAGACCTGAAGATCAGAAAAAATAAAATGATTGTAAATGGGAATTTGTTTCTGATTGATTGATTCTAGGAATGAAGATCACTCCTTTCCCGCTCGTCCCTTTTTTGCTGGAGTGAAATTAAATTAAATTCTACCTCTTGTTCCCTGCCATGTCTTCCTCCTTTGGGTTTCAGAAGTATTTTGTGCATATATATTGTGTGTAGAGATACACAAAAATCCCTCCTGCTCGGCTGTATTTCAGTTCCACAGTCAATGGGCACAATCCTGAAAGTGGAGTTAGGGTGGTCCTGTTACATCTAAAAGATCAGTGACAGCTCACATGAAAGTCCACAAGCCCAGTGCCTAGTGGATAGTAGAACCTCAGTAAGGGCCCTGATATCACTGCAGCTGTCTCACTGCGGTAATAGGGAAGCTCTATATACACACAGGGTCTGCCTGTTCTTATTTACCAAATTGTTAGAAAATATACCATTAAATAATTATTTTCTTGTGGGAAGGATTAAGAAATGGTTTTTCACTCCTTAGAACCAAAGCTTTGTTTTATGCTGCTCGGAATTGTATTCCACTCACCAAACTTTTTTATTTATTCTCAGATGAATAGAGTTTTTACTCCATATATTATTTTCATTCTCAGTAGTTTAAAATTAACTGAGGCATTTTGCAGTAATAGAAGAGAAACAGTAGATGTCAGGAGAGAACCAGCTAACCTGCTATTTGGTGTTTGCATTCAACCATTTACAATCCTGGATTTTAGGGAATTGTTTTAAATCTACAAAACATTAGTATGATTACTATATGTATTTAAATGCTAATGATTGTTTAAATATAGAGTTGTGTCTAGTACAGGATGTTCTACACTCTGATCTAAGAGAAGGTCCTGAGTGACTGAATAAAAAAGAAGCAATTTTAAGTATCTATTAAGTGCCAGAAGCTTTCATGTACATAAATGTGTGAATTGTATATAGAATTCAAATCTTTCCCCTGCTGCCTACGTGGGCAAAAATCTGGAGTAGGGGATTTTTTCAGGGTGGGTACAGAGCTAGACGTTCATGCACCAAGAGGTGTTTCTGGGGAGGCCTTCAGGGAAGGCACCCAGTTAATCAAAGTACAGTACTCTTTGCTCATCTGTAAAGATGTGGGGAGGAGAGGTGTCTTAAACAAACATGGGCATAGCTTGTATTTTTTTTTAACCTACAGGTTCTCATCATAGTGTACTCTCTTTCATAGTATCTTCATGAAATTTAAGGAAACATTCTTAATGATTGTCAGCCCACTCAGAGGGCCCAAAGGGGATTTTCGTGGATGAGATCCCAAGGTGAAAGAACCCATGTGTGCAAGACATCAACAGCAACAATAGGCAGCATAGAGCAGAGTACAAAAGCAAAAGAGAACAAGAGAGCAAGAGCCCCCTGCATCTTTATTGTAAAATTCCTATACAGGTGGTTATCTCATATTTACATTCTTACGTAGTGCCATAACCAGTGCATGCGTGTTTGTCGACTGCTAAGTCATGGTTACATAACTCTGTCCAACTGTGCACCTGTGCTATACAAGTGGGGCCATGTCCTCAGGTGTTCTTAGACACCCCTGAGCTTAGAAGCAGTCTGAGTGGTTCCCCACAATGGTTAACGTTCCTTTCTGGACCAGTTCCTTTCTGCGTAAGTTAGCATGCTTTTAGGCTTCCAAAATCTCATACTCCTTTTTTCTCATAAATCTAATTTTGAGCCAGTGTCTTTATAACATATATTATTGCCTCAGTTACTTTTCTCTCATTGCTGAGACAAAAGTACCTGATGCCCAGAATTAAGGAAGGAAAGGTTTAGTTAGCTCACGGTTTGTGAAGGTTTCAATCCATACTTGGCTGGCTCCAAAGCAGAGCGGCACATGGCAGAGGGCATTGGCAGTATCGGTGGAAAATAAGAAAAGCAACGAGCAAAAAGGGAAGAGCACCAGTGAACAAGCCTCTTTCCCTCCCTTGTATTGTATGCAGGCTGCCCACCCTCGTGTGGGGTTAGCACTCACACCCATAATCTCAGCATTGGATCATGAGTCAATCAAAAACTCTTAGAAGCCTGCCCCATGACTGCATGAGGCTTTGGGGGCACATCTAGACACAAACTGTAACAATTATCTTTAGAATTTACAATGCCACTTTTAACATTTCTCGCTAAAATTACTTAAAGCTAATCCCTCTCAAAAGTTATTGAGGAAAAAACTCCAAAAGTTTTCATCTTGAATTAGAATAGCAAATTTTTTGTTCCAATAATTAAAGCTATCCTTTCTCTTCCAATTTGGTAAAATAAATTGAAATGAGAATGGACATTTACATTTTTCTTTTCTTGTCAAAATAATCTGAATTAATTGGTTCCTGTTTATTAGTTTGTCCCCAGGGGTAAAGGAACTAATAAATTATGTATGCAAATTTTAGTATAATTAATGACTGACCCCCATTTTTAAAGGAAAGTAGCCACATAGCACAAAATTTTCAGGATCTTAGAATAGTCTTTAAATAATAACAATGCCACAATAATAGTTTTTAAAAAATGAATTAAGAATGTCTTTCTGTTATTTCCTCTTGGCATGTTTTTACACAGTTGCAAATACAATTTGTGTCCTGCTTTTTAAAAATTAACTGTACAGTCATCCCAGCTGGCTGGATCTTCACCCTTTGGGAGGGCTAAATGACTGAACTTCTAAACTAAGCTCAACAGCTCAGGATTGGTCAGCAGAGGAGGTAGAGAAATGTTCAGTCAGGGAAAGAATTTTACTTGACATGGTCCCAAGTTGAGCAATGGGGCAGATCCAAGCCAAAGTGCACAAAGGGAATCAGTGCAGGAGGAAAAAAAGCAGAGTAAATTTAATAACCAGAGTGAGCAGGTTCCTGAAAGCCAGCAGGCTAAGGGCACCAGTGTCCAGGGAAGACAGAAGCTTAGTTTACAGTGGTCAGGAGGATAATAGGAGCATTTTTTTCTGTTGCAGAGATATGGTACAAAGATGACACTATTTTTTAATAACCATTACAAATTACATCTGAAAAACTACTAGAATTTGCCCTCTTGGTACATGTAAGCTGGTCCCTTGAAAACCAGCACAAGTTGCCACTAATCCTTGCCACACAATTCTGAGTTAGAATTGCTCGGGTCCACCTGCCACTGTATGATCCCAGCCTCCTCTCTTTCGTGTTCTCTTTAGTATCTCTCAGGAGTTTGATGACCACGGTGGTTTTTGTTTTACTTACCCAGCCTGCTTGGGTGTGGAGGCCTTCGGGGTTGTGTGCCTAGCTGTGTGATTCACTGGCTGCTGTACATGGGCAAGCTCCAGTCCCAAACTCAGACTCAGCTGGGTGACTACCTGTCTTGGTTACTTTTCTCTCATTGCTGAGGCAAAATACCTGATACCAATATTAAGGAAGGGAAGGTTTATTTTGCTCACAGTTTGTGGAGGTTTCGGTCCATACTTAGCTGGCTCGAAGGCAGGGTGGCACATGGCAGAGGGCAACAGTTCATGGCAGAAAACAGTAAAAGCAGCAAGAGCAAAAAGGGAGGAGCAGCAAGAGCCACTCTTTTCCTCCCTGTCATTGTATGCAAGCCACCTGCCCCAGGGCAGGTGAAGCACTCACATCCATAATCCCAGAGTTGGACCACGGATCAATCAAAAGCCCTAGAAGCATGCCCTATGACTGCATGCGGCTTTGCGGGACATCCAGACATAAACCATAACACTACCTATTGCCTTGTGGTCAGTGTGCTAGAGTCCAACTCCCCCATGTATGGAAAAGTTCATCAACCTCAGTGTTCATTCATCAGATTTAATTTGGCAGAAGTGGCAAGACGCCCCATTTTATCCTTATGCTGAAGTTATGAAAGCCAGCAGGCTAAGGGCACCAGTGTCCAGGGAAGACAGAAGCTTAGTTTATAGTGGTCAGGAGGATAATAGGAACATTTTTTTCTGTTTCTGCAGAAAGTGATGCCTGTATTTTAGTTCTTTCCCATGTGTATAGGTAAAGAAGGTTGAAAAACTGTGCTTCCTCTGAGCCCTTAATGCCTACAGGAGCAAATCGCAGCAAATGCTTTGCTCCCTTTTTCCATGGGCTTCTGCTAACATCTATCTCATGAGGAGGTCTGCTGCAGCCGTCTTGAGTTGCTGCAGCTTCCTGGAGCTGGAACACACCACCTATCTAGGAGACTCCACTGCCCCAGCAGATGTTCTCCAGACTGGCAAAAGCTTCATTTGCACATGTCTGTTGGGCTCCACGAGATGTTCTCCCAGTTCTCTACCATGGGAAGGGGTTCCAGGCCCCGAATGAGGGAGTGCTAACCTCCTGGAGGTCAGGCAATGTTTTAGAAGCACAACAACTCTCCTTTACAATTTGGTAGTTTAAAATAACCATTTTATTTAAATTAACCATTTTATTTAATGGTTTTATTAACCATTTTATTTATTTATAACCAACCAAGTTGGTTCTAGGGTGTAGGCCTGGTGGTCTGCACAATTAGCAGATCCCCCAGAGCAATCTGTAATGGATTGAATGCATGGAGAGGAGACTAATTTAACTTACATTTATAACCATCTTTGTCCAAGGGTGAGCCTGGTAGAAAACATTGAGATGCAGGCTGCTAAAAATTGTTAGGCTGGATTTTGACAATCTCTTCATCCACCAGTATTTTTTTTTTTTTTAAGACAGGGTCTCCCTATGTAGTTCCAGTTGGCCTTGAACTCACTGTGTAGCCCAGACTGACCTGAAATTCACAGTGACCCTCCTGCCTCAGCCTCCAAGTGCTGAGATTATGGACATGTGCCCTCAGGAATGAGATTAGTGACATAAAAAAAGAGGCTGAGTGACCCCTCTGCTGTTCTAACTGCTAAAGTTGCAGGGAAAAGACATCTATTTCTGAAACATCAATAGATCACCAGACACCAGATGTGCTAGGGCCAGGCCCTCAAGTCTTACAAGCGACCAGAATTGTGAGAAGTAAGTTTGTCTTGTTTATAAGCCGTGCAGTCTATGGTATTTTTTTTGTAGCAGCCTGAAAAGACTAAGATG